CTATTCTTGAGTCATGCTCTTTAATAAAGATGAGGCTAATGAATTACAATTAACCATGTCATCTTAGCATTTATAATAATGAAGAAAGGGAAGGCAGGGAAGAGTTGATGTTTACCAGACTTTTTTTGAAAGTAGGTTTCCAGGCCAAGCATGGTGGCTCACGCCTGTAATCTCAGCATTTTGGGAGGCCAAGGTGGGTAAATCACCTGAGGTCAGGAGTTCAAGACTAGCCCATCTACCAGGACAAAACCCCATCTCTGCTAAAAATACAAAAAATTAGCTGGATGTTGTGGCACATGCTTGTAATCCCAGCTACTCAGGAGGCTGAGACAGGAGAATCGCTTGAACCTGGGAGGCAGAGGCTACAGTGAGCTGAGATCATGCCAGTGCACTCCAGCCTGGGTGACAGAGCAAGACTCCATCTCAAAAAAAAAAAAAAAAAGAAAGTAGGTTTCCAGTGGTTCAGGTAACAATCACCATGATACTGCCCTGCAGAGCTGAAAAAGGGAATGTAGGCAACATAAAGATAGCCAAGGTAAAGGAATTGATTTCTAATATCTGTGTTTCCTTTCCTGTTTGGAAGGGTATTGAGAACTTTCCACTAAGCCTTCTTAGATGCCCACCCAGACATGGTGAATTTCCCTGGTGCATTTGACCAAGGAAGGATAGATGTACTTCTTGTTACAAATAAAGTTCCAATATATTGGATCTAAAATTACAGCCACATCCCAAGAGTCACCTGTAGTTTTATTGGAGGAAAGGATGCAGAATTTAAAATATTAAAACTGCTATAGTCTAGGCCATCCACTAAAAAGGGTGAGAATAATTAGAGGAACATCCCTGCAGGCTCATGTTATAAGAAACCCGCAGAAACCGACCTAATCATCGCCTACTGAATGGTGAATGGTTTAAACATCCACGTTCTACACTGAGACTTCAAAGGCAAGAGGTGTTGCCATGCTAATGCTCAACCAGCTTCATACCCTGGCTGAATAATGGACACTGTCTGTATTAAAAGCAATTAAACCATCAAACCCTTAAAATTCATCCCAGTGTTACGGCGTTGGAGGCTAACTAAAGGATGTTCATAATAGCAGCTTCTGAAAATCCTGCAAGAATTGGGGAACAGAGAGGATCACTTCAGGAGATATTTAAGCACTAATGAATACCAAAATAAATTAATCTTCATCTCTATCACCCTAGAAACACGTACCCAGTGTTCAGCTCCAACTCTGGCTCACACTGGTGTCTTATGCAATTAGAATGTCTAAAACCTACTCTTAACAGATTATGCATCTTATTCATGTAACCTGAACTACATTCCAGGATGAATAACGTTTTAATTTCATTCATTCAGTGAGTTGGATGTGTCTGGGGAGTGGAAAAATAACACTCCCAGCTCATGCCTGAGTCTACGTAGCTCTGTCAGAGTGCACAGAATAACAAAGAATCTGCTATGTGGACATTATTTTAAACTCACAGCTGAGCTCTCGTAACAAATGATTATTTTGTCTTACTGTCCCTTTAGGAGCACTTGTATAATTCCGTTCAAGAATGCAGTTAAAGAAGTAGTTAGGAGCAAGTCTGATAATGCTGTTGCCCACCTAAAAAAAAAAAAAATCTGTAGGAAACCCAGAAGTGACCAGGCACAGTGGCTCATGCCCATAATCTCAGCATTTTGGGAGGCCGAGGTAGGAGGATCATTTGAGACCAGGAGTTCAAGACAAGTCTGGCCAGCATAGTAAAACTCCATCTCTACTAAAAATACAAAAATTAATCAGGCATGGTGGCATGCACCTGTAATCCTAGCTACTTGGATGTCTGAGACTGGAGAATCGCTTGAACTTGGGAGGCAAAGATTGCAGTGAGCCCAGATCGTGCCACTGTACTCCAGCCTGGGTGACAGAACAATACTTCATCAAAAAAAAAAAAAAAAAAAAAAAAAACAGAAGGGAAACTTGGCTTATTAGAAGTGACTGACAACAGTAATAAATCACTTCAAATATAGTTTTAAAAAACAACTATATTTGAAAGTTCGGCTTATTAGAAGTGACTTACAACTTCTAATAAGTCACTTCAAATATAGTAAAAAAAACAACTATATTTGTATTGTTTTTCTTAAGGCAGGAAAAAGATTGAATAAACTTAATCATGAGCCTCTGAGTAAAAACCAATTCATGAAATAGTAATTCTCTGGACTCAGACTCTGAAATTTATCTGAAATTGGTAACATCATAAGTCTCACCAAAAAATCATAGAGCCCCTTCCCCACAGCTTCTTGGCACCTGAGTGGCATGTGTGCCTACGCAAAACCTAGCAAGAATAGCATCACGACAAAACAGGCTTTCTGGCAGAAAAATGTCAGGACCTGCTTACAGCTGTTTATTGAAATCATTAGGTAGTGGTTTACTAAAGAAAATTCCAGACTCAAAGATGGAAGCACATTTCCTGTCCTACCTCACGTAAGAATGAGACCCAGGAACTACTGAACCCCAAAGGTTCTTGTCATTCCTTAGGATATATGTTACTCTACAGTTTTGCAGAGACTACATAATGTAGTTAGAAATGAGTAGGGAATTCATGACCAAAGTGAAACTTTTATGAATAGATATTTAATAAATTACCCAAGGAGAATTAAAATTTAATACACTAAAACAAGTTAATTGAATAAAGATCTGCTATGCTTCTACACTGTGCTCGTATGTCAAAAAAGATGCTATCTTTGGCTGCAGGTAGCTAATCATCATCAGAGTGAGAGCTCCCCATCTAGCGTGGATTCATACATCAACTGTGCTAAAACCAGAATTACTTGGAAAGTTGATTTTTTGGAACATTTCTTGAAACAAATACAAATTGGAAAAGATTTGCACCAATTACTCTATATAAAGGAATCTAAACCACACCCAAAAATAAAAATGTAATTTTGACCTTTTTTTTTTTTTTTTCTGAGATAGAGTCTCGCTCGTTGCCCAGGCTGGAGTGCAATGGTGCAGTCTCAGCTCACTGCAACCTTAGCCTCCCAGGTTTAAGCAGTTCTCCCATCTCATCCTCCCATGTAGCTGAGACTACAGGCGTGCATCACTATGCCCGGCTAATTTTGTATTTTTAGTAGAGATGGGGTTTTACCCTGTTGGCCAGGAACTCAAACTCCTGACCTCAGGTGATCCCTCTGCCTTCGCCTCCTTTAAAAGTGTTGGGATTACAGGCATGAGCCACTGTGCACAGCCAATTTTGACCTTTTCTGAAGAGAAAGATGAAGTAGACTCAACCTTCTCACTAGTCCTTTTTTAGAAATAAGACCACTAAGTTACTGTAAGAAATCATCCCTAATTAATAGATGCAACATAATGTATCACATTTCTCAGATGTCAATACAATTTTCTTCTCAAATCCATTATGAAAAAGTACAGTTTTTCAAATATATACTCTACTTGCTGCCAAATAGTATGCTTTCTCTGAATTCAATAAGAACTTGTAACAATACATCAGTCTGTTTAGTCTCTACCAAATTAAAATTGAAATAAGCGACAGCTATCTGGGAAACCAGATGAGTTTCTCTCATCTCTCAGTCGGACATGGCACAAATCAAATGATATCATTGAGCTGTAGTTCCTGGCATATGAATGCTTAATGTCCAAAAATGCAGTGTCTGCCACCTAGACCAGTGAAGTGAGTTACCTGAGGTCACACAGCCAAACAGCAGCGAAGCCAGAGCTGAGTGCCACCTCCTGTTCCTTTTTTGTCATTAGAGTGCTCCTTTCAGACACGTGGCAAAGCAGTGTTGCTTAGCAATTCAGAGAGCCCAGGTTACCTGGGTTCAAATCCCAGCTCTGCCATTTACTAGCTTTGTGATTTGACAGAAGTTCCTTGGTCTTTCTGCTCCTCTTTCCTTATGTAGAAAACAAGGATAATAATAATTTTCCTTTCTTCAAAGGTTGTTGGAAGAGTAAATAAGTTAACTGATGGTAAAATTCTGGGCACTCAAAAATGTTAGCTTTTGTTTTTTTTTTTCATCTTTGAATATTTAAAGAGCATGATTAATGCACTGGTGTTCAGTCAGGAGGTAGGATTCTGGCTGACACCATCTGCTGTAAAAACACACTACTTGACTGAATTCTGCTAAGAGAGTCCCAATTGGAGAGCCACAGGTCTGGGGGAATGGACTGGGGATGGACTAATGGCAGGGCTTCCTGACCTTTTCTTGTCCTTGGCATACATAGAAAGTGTTGTATTTGTATAACACGTGGGGCAAACAGACAAGGCTGCTTGAGGCTCCAGGGTCCCCAGGTCCTGCCCACTTACTCTAGGGACTGGGAGAATAAATAGTTCAGCCCACTTGCAACCCTTCTTAGGCTTAGCCCGAGAAGCTCTCTTACCAGTTGAGAAGCTCTCTGAGATCTTTGTCAACTTATCCCTGATGTGTTTGTTCTGATTATAAACTGTCCCCGTTAGGAGTGTGGAATTGTCCCCATTGTGGCTAAAGGTAAAACAGGAACCAGTTTGTCCCAACCAGCTCCTCCAGAAGGTGTATGGAGAACTTGTGTGTGACCTGCAGGTCTACCGTGTGGGCTACATATACACTGATTCCACCTCTAGGAATCCTAACTTGGAGTTAGGACACATGACATAAATAGGTGATGAGTAAGTCTGAGTTCAGGCAGCACTTGATATGTGTGCACTGAGCAATCTAGACGAGACCAGGGGACTTTGGCTAGGGGATGTTTATTGTGTTTCCCACTGCATCAACTGGCACAGTACCTATGGGGGACTTCTTGACCATCCAGACATGGACATTCTGTTAAAGGCAGGGAGTCTGTTGATTTCTTGGCCTGCCTGGCTGATGATTTGGTTGCTTAGAAGGTAGAAGAAACACTGCAGGTGTTACTGTTGTAAATTGTGGTCAGCAAGGAAGACTACATTGGAATCCTGTAACAAGATCCATGGAAGAAAAAACCCTGACATCCCAGAATAATTCATATGAAATGAGTGAAATCCAGGGCTTAATTCTCCACATATATTCTTTTTATTTTTTTGAGATGAAGTTTTGCTCTTGTTGCCCAGGCTGGCCTACAATGGCATGATGCCGGCTCACCGCAACCTCCACTTCCCAGCTTCAGGCAATTCTTCTGCCTCAGCCTCCCAAGTAGCTGGGGTTGCCGGAACTTTGGATTACCAAAATTACCACACCTGGCTAATTTTGTATTTTTAGTAGAGACGAGGTTTCTCCATGTTAGCCAGGCTGGTCTTGAACTCCTGACCTCATGTGATCCACCCCCGCTTGGCCTCCCAAAGTGCTGGAATTACAGGTGTGAGCCACCACGCCCAGCCAGTTCTCCATATATTCTTTATCTTGTTGTTGGTATTCTTTTTTTAAATTAATTTTTGTGGGTACATAGTAGGTACATATTGGGTATATGAGATGTTTTGAAACAGGCACGCAATGGGAAATAATCACATCATATATATTTTTTTCTTTAGAAAACCAAATTTCAAAATGTCAAAGAAAATAAACAGGAATATTTTTTACATGGGCTGTGAATTTAGAAAGCATAGATAATCCAAAAGAGAAAGGCTTTATGAGCCTCTCACATTAACCCACAATTTGTAATAGTATTTTAAAGAGTAAGAAGATGGAACATATGATCCAAAACAAAGGGACACAGAACATATTTTGAGGACTCCAAAGTTTTGTAGACGCCCACTTCGGTTGGAGCAAAAACATGAGCAATTGGTAACAGCCATTTTTGAGGATAGTATGTGAGACTAACCAGCAGAATCAGAGCTACTTGACTTTCATTTTGCTTTTTTTCTTTTTCAACAAGGAAGCTAGTCACTATACTAACTGCAGAGAGTAAAAAGAACAAACAGAAGAAAACTAAAGTCCAAGATCAGAGAAACAGTAGTCAGAAAATATTTTACTGCTTTTTGATTAGCTCAAGTCTCTAGGCTCAGGAAAATGGTCTCCCAAAACACGGAGAAAATCTGCACTTGTCATTGCTGGGTCAGCATCAGTACCCTTTGAAAAGGTATGGAGTCTTGGGAAAATGCCAGACAAGTAGATGGACAGTTTCTTGGAAAATGAATTCCAAAAACTAGGCTGATAAGCTGCATTGCAATACTGAAGAAAATTTGAGAACAGAGTTTTTTGTAAGCACTTCGTAAAGGAAGCAGTGTTCACTTAGGAACAGCGCAGATTTTGCTGAGAATAAGGCAGGCTAATCTTTCAGGATTTCTAGTAAGCTAAGAGTAGGACTGTCTAACCTGATAAGTAGAATTTGTCAGGAACTGACATTTAATGGTGAAACACTAGAAATATATAAACTTCAGAAATAAGACAAGGATAACTGCTAATATTTAATATCATTCTGGAGATCTTATCAATGCAATAAGCCAAGAAAACAAAATTAGGAATAACTATTGAAAAGGAAGAAACAAAATTCATGTGATTCTCTTCTTAAAATCCAAGTGAATTCCAACTGGTAAGAGAGTTGTACAAAGTGGTCAGAGGCAGAAATATCCTAAAGTCAGCAGCTTTGTATACCTGGTCATTCAAAAATTAGGAGAGATGTAATAATTCATAAGATCTCATTTTCTATTGTGGCAAAACTGAAAAATACCTAGGAATAAAGTTATGTTCTAAACCTTAATGAAAAAGTTAAAAAATTCTAACTGAAGGACATTTTAACAGAGCTAAGTGGAGAGAAATATGTTCCTTATGAATATATTCTTTCAAATGAATCCACAATATGTAATGCTTTAAATCAGAATTCCAGTGGAATTGTCTGGAAGTAACTTGAATTCTGGAATTCAAGAATTCAAGTTACTATCACAAAAGGAAGCCAGAGGACTAGGCACATGATAACAGCTAAAAAAAAAAAAAAAAAAAAAAAAACAGAAGAAAAATAATGATGTGAGAAAGGGAATAAGATTCATAATGTCACATATACAAGCATATATTAAAACAAAAGTAATTAAGACGGTCTGATACAGGGTTAGATAAGTAGATCAATAAACGTATGAAAAGGCCAGGCACAGAGGCTCATGTCTATAATACCAACCAGTGCTTTAGGATGAGAAGTGGAAGGATTGCTTAAGGCCGGGATCTGAGACCAGCCTGGGCAGCATGATGAGACCCTGTCTCTACAAAAACATGAAAAATTAGCCAGATGTGGTAGAGCACACCTGTAGTTGTGCCTTTCTGCATTTCTAGGCATTTCTTACAGAGGGAATTTAATTCAGGGAATTGGTTATACAAGGGCTGAAAAAAACGAAGAAACTTAATTGGACAGTGAGGCAACCCAGCAATTAGCAACCACCAGAACCTGCTTATCACTGCTAGAGCTAGAGAGCCAAAGGGAAGTGGCAGTGTTCTAGCACTCAGGAGCGAAGGCAGCGGGAAGCCAGGCTAGCGGGAGCTGGAGCCACAGAGAACTCGTGGCTGCTGCTGGAAACGTCACCAGAGGCATGAAGAATTGAGGGAGAAATGCCCTGACGTCTCCTGTTTTCACCCTCCAGTCCATCTCAGTGCTGCCCATTGGCCAAACCTACCTAGAAGCCAGAGGACAGGGAGCCTGAGCAGTCAGTTTCCTGTAAACAAAGTAAGTCTCAGGGGAGCAGAGAAAGGGTCTGAAAGCACTCAGGAAAGTGGCGGACACATATGAAGAGAGCATCGAAAGTTCACAGGGCAAGGTTGAATGATTCTTTGGTTGATCTTGGAACAGTTGGCTCTCCATTTCAGAAAAAGTTAGGACTTCACAACATACACATAAATTCCTGGTGAGTTCACAATCCAAATGTGAAAAATAAAAGCTGGAAGTTCATTCTCATGCCAACATGGAGTTCAGGCAAGTCCCCTCACCAGTTAGCGTGCATTGCCAGCTCCAGGCCTTAGCAGGCAGTGTCCTCTGCCCAGACTGCCCAATGCAGTCCCTCCCCCAGCCACTGCCATCATCCTCAGGAGCCAGGACCTTCTTCAGGCATCACTACCCCAGGAAGTCTTCCTTGTTGGTTCCAGCTGGGTTGGCACCTCAACCCATGTATCAAGGCAGCAGTGAGCTCCTAGAAGGCTGAGATGGTTTGGCTGTGTCCCTACCCAAATCTCATTTCTAATTGTAGCTTCCACAGTTAGCAAATGTTGTGGGAGGAACCTGGTGGGAGATAATTGAATTATGAGGGCAGTTCCCCCCATACTGTTACCGTGGTAGTGAATAAGTCTCATGAGATCTGATGATTTTTAAGGGTTTCCCCTTTCCCTTGGGTCTCATTCTCTCTTGTCCACCACCATGTGAGATGTATCTTTCACCTCCTGCCATGATTGTGAGGCCTCTCCTGCCACGTGGAACTGAGAGCTCTTTCTTTTGAAATTGTCCAGTCTTGGGTATGTCTTTATCAGCAGCGTGAAGACAGCCTAATACAAGAGCAAAGATAACATCTCATTTGTCTTTACCCTTGTGTGTGGCACAGTGCCAGGCACAAGAGTTGGCCCTCAAATACACACCAAATGCACTGATACTTCATTTTGTTCTCTGTCTAAGCAGTATTAGTTGAGCACCCGCTACGTGCTTGATACTTTCCTTAGCACAGTGGAGGACATGAAAACTTGTTATGTGCCAGTCTCTGTTCCTACAGAGTTAACTGTATGGTTGAGAGGGCAAGACGTATGCACAAGGATGTCTTAGCCAGGGGGGTTCTGAGGAGGACTTGGATTTTCCTGATGAGTGCACTTGCTGCCTTAAATAGAAGCCAAGACAGATGGGAAGAGGCAGCAGATGGGCAGCACTTGAGGCAGCAAGCAGAGAGGCAGGAGTCCTGGACTGTGTCCCAAGATCAGGCAGGTACCTGCTGTGTGACCTGGTCATCTCCCTCCCCATAGCAAGCCCCCATCCCCCTATATGCAAATTGAGGAGGCTGGACTACTACAGCCCTGGGCACACGTTGGATTCAGAGAGAGATTACGATGCAATTTAGTCTGGGGAAGGGCCTGGGCACTGACACTTTTCAAAAGCTGTCCTTGTGATTTTTTTGATCAGCTTTATTAAGATATACATCATATACCATACAATTCACCCATCTAAATTGGACAACTTAATGTTTAGCATTTTCACCCAGTTGTGCAACCATCACTGCGATATAATTTTAGAACATTTTCATCACTCCTAGAAGACACTCCACCCCCATTAGCAGTCACTCCCCTTCCCCTGCCCGCCATCCTCCCTAGTCCTAGGTAACCATAATCCGCTTTCTATCTCTATGGATTTGCCTACTCTAGATGTTTTATATAAATGGAATCATATACTTGTCCGTTTTGGTTCTGGCTTCCTTCATGTACTATATAATGTATTCAAAGTTTATCCATGTCATGCCTGCTCAATATTTCATTCTCGTTTGTGGCTGAATAATATTTCTTTTTTTTTTTTTGAGACAGAGTCTCGCTCTTGTCATCCAGGCTGGAGTGCACTGGTACAATCTCGGTTCACTGCAACCCCCACCTCCCAGGTTCAAGCAATTCTCCTGCCTGAGCCTCCCAAGTAGCCCCAGCTACTACAGGCGCTTGCCACCATGCCTGGCTAATTTTTGTATTTTTAGTAGAGATGGGGTTTCACTGTTAGCCAGGATGGTCTTGTTCTCCTGACTTCGTGATCCACCCGCCTTGGCCTCCCAAGGTGCTAGGATTACAGGTGTGAACCACTGTGCCTAGCCTGCATGATATCCTTTTGTATGGGTAAACCATGTTCTGTCTATCCATTCATCAGTTGATGGATATTTGGGGTGTTTCTACCTTTGGGCTCTTATGAATAATTCTGCTGTGAACATTTGCATGTAAGTCTTTGCATGGACCTGTTTTCATTTCTCTTGGGCAGATACTAGGAGTAGGCTCACTCAGTCAGATGGTAACTCTTACATTCAACATTTTGAAGAACTGCCAAACTGTTTTTCAAACTGGCTGCACTATTTTGCATTCTTTCCAGCAGTGAATAGGAGTTTCCCCTAGTTATTATTTATTTTATTTTATTTTATTTTATTTTAGAGACAAAGTCTCTCTCTGTCACCCAGGCTGGAGTGCAGTGGTGCAATCTTGGCTCACTGCAACCTCCACCTCCTGGGTTCAAGTGATTCTCATGCTTCAGCCTCCAGAGTACCTGGGATTACAGGTGCCCACCACCACGCCCAGCTAATTTTTGTATTTTTAGTAGAAATGGGGTTTCACCATGTTGGCTAAAATGGTCTTGATCTCTTGACCTCACGATCTGCCCACCTCAGCCTCCCAAAGTGCTGGGATTACAGCCGTGACCCCCTGCACCTGGCTGCCGGGTTAATTTTTTGTTGTTGTAGCGATGAGGCCACCCTATGTTGCCCGGTCTCAAACTCCTGGCCCCAAGCTATCCTCCTGCCTTGGCCTCCAAAAGTGCTGGAAATACAAGTGTGAGCTGCTGCACCCGGCCCAGCATGCAATTTTGACTGAGCACCACGTGTTTAGTAGCTTGCCAGTCCAGGGTCAGGGAGAGGAGATTGGTGGGGGGTGCATATGGGATTTGTCAGGGCTCAAAGAGCCCCTGTAACCTCACTTGTCCTGCAGGCAATAAAGTCACTTATGAGTAGGCCCCAGTAGGAACACTAGCTGTTCTGGAGTTGGAGGCCAAATGGGAACTGGATCTTCCCTTGAGAAAAGGGAAGAGAAGAAATTAGGTCGGGGCAGTTCTCACTTTGCATGTACTAACAGGGCACATTAGTCCCTTTCACTAAGCCCCAGTGTCTAAGGGGGCACCAGCAGCTTCCTTGCAGGAAAACTGAAAATTAACCATTAAAGTACCTAGCACAGTGCTAGACACACAGCAGCCCCTTCTTCCACACTAGATTTCTTTTCAACTGCCAGCTCATGAAAGCAGAGACTGAAGCCTACATCTGTCCTCTGTCACCCACCCTAAAAACCAGGATGTGGGACCTCCTTTCCAGAATGCCAGGAACCTCAGTCCCTGATGATGGTGAGTGTGCAGCTGGCTTTGTCTCCTGGGACTTAGCCATGGTCCCCAAGTACTGCTGGACCTTCTAGGGTGGGCTTGACCTTCTCTGAGTTCCCTGTTAGGAGGGAAGATGCACAATCTAGTGAATGTCATTGACATTATAGTCTAGTGAGTGCCATCTTCAGGAGTTCCTCAGGACACAATCCATGAGGCCATGAGCAACCCCACAAAACTGCTCCATTTTTTTTTTTTTTTTTTTTTTTGAGACAGAGTCTCACTCTGTCACTGAGACTGGAGTGCAGTGGTGCAATCTTGGCTCACTGCCACCTCCGCCTCCTGGGTTCAAGTGATTCTCCTGCCTCAGCCTCCTGAGTAGCTGGGACTGCAGATGCAGGCCTCCACGCCTGGCTAATTTTTTGTATTTTTAGTAGAGATGGGGTTTCACTGTGTTAGCCAGGATGGTCTCGATCTCTTGACCTTGTGATCTACCCGCCTTGGCCTCCCAAAGTGCTGGGATTACAGGCATAAGCCTCCCCACTGGCTCCATGTTAGAATCTTTAGGATGATTCCCCAGGCGTATGAGTTGAGAAAGCGCACAGGTCATTCTACTGCCTGCTTGGGAACGTTTGCTCTTTGAGAGACCTTTAACCTGAGCAGATTCCTGATTCCAGGTTCAGGCAGCTTCTCTGACCCTCATCTATTTCTCTTTTCATTTGTTTCTTTCTCTTCCTCTCTCCAAAGTAGCTGTGATGAAGGTCACACAGGCATATTTTATTTGACATGTTATGAAATGCACTTTCTCACTCCTCACATACATATCTTTTTACTGTTTAACTCTTTACTCTGGGTTTCCTTGAAATAAAGTTTTAAATGCCACTCACTTTTAACTTGGAAAGACAAATGCATGATACCACTGTGCTCTTCCAAGTCTGTGGCAGACATCAATAATCAATCACAGCACTCTTCCCCCCTGAGTTGGGCACAACCGCAGACTCCTTCTGAATCTTGCACTCGAAGCAGACAGTGAGAATCAATTGGAGTTGGCATGACAGATGATATCTATTTGCCATCCCTTAGGAACTCTTACTCAAAGCTTTCCAACTCCACCTCCGGCCCTGAATGTACGCCAGATCTCTGCTACAAGACATCTTTCCCTTTGGGTATTCATTCTCACACTATTACCCATGTGATGTTTAATCATAATTTTTTCTGCTCAAATCAGCCCTCATTCTCCACCTCCTTCTTTCTGTTAATGATATGCCATTCACCTGGTCCTCCAGGCTAAAAAGAATTTGGAATTTTTCTGACCCCTCCATGTCTCCATGTTCTCCCTTTCTCTAATCCAGCTACTGTCCCTATCCTGTTCCTGTTTTCCTTTTGAAGTTTCTCTGATTTGTCCCTCTCACCTACACAATGATGGTTTCAGATCTTAATAGGCTGGTAGCAGTGAGGAAGAAGGGCAAGGTGGAAGATGAGCCTTCCATTCAGAAGCTCTCCCCAGTCCTTCCAAGCAGGGGGAATTTTCTATGTTCTGAGCTCCCAGTCTCTGCAGCTCCTTAGGACAGATGTTATTTCCAACATATTTGCAAGACAGGAATAATAATATTAACAGGCTTTGGGGTCTACAGAGCTGTTGTCAAATCTCAGCTGCACAACTTCATCAATCCATCCTTCCTTTCGTTCTTCCTTCCTCCCCCTTCCTTTCCCTCCCTTCTTCCTTCCAGCAAATATTTCTGGAACACCTACTGTGTAACAAGCAAAGGTCTCCATGTTTATAAAAGGGAATCTTCTCTACAAAATAGCTAGCACAGTACCTTGAACATACAGCAAGTACTGGATAAATAGTTGGGGGAAAAGATGTTTCTCAGATCCAGAAATTTGTCCAGAAGTCACTTAACTCAACTCATGTTACAGTTGAGGGATTGGAAGTCCAGAGTGACTGCCCAAGCTTCTCCTGCCAAGGAGGGGCAGAACTAAGACTCAAGCCCAGGTTTTTCCACTCCAACTCAGGGCACTTTTTGCTGTTCCATGGGACATGAAGAGGGTGCATACCCTGGTTATGTTTTGGGTTGAAGAGGCGAGGAGGGATTATGATTCCCAGAAGGCAAACTCGTGCCTTCTTCCACATTCTTACACACACGCACATGCATGCATGTGCACGCGCGCGCACGCACACACACACACACACACACACTTGAGCAAAGTCTCCAGGAGGCAGCCAAGTTGCATCAGAGATGCAGCTCATGGGGCAATGTAGGGGACAAATAGTGCCATTTCTCCTGAACTGTCTCCTGCATCTGCAACAGAGTCCTCAATGACACCTTCTCCCATGTCCCCAAGTGACAGGCCTGCAAGCCCTGCTTACACAGCTTCAAAAATAGCTGAGACAGTTCACTTCACTCCATCCACCAGGTTAGTCTAGATCTCACTCTGCAGCAGTCTCTTAACAGAGAGATACTAGAGTCTCTCCCCTCCAATCTCCTCCACACAGCACTCAAAACAAACTCTCCAAAATGTAACTTTCTTGCTTAAGCCCTTTCCCTGATAGCCCAGCACCTGATACCTCATAACTAAGCCCTTCATGACCAGCCCCAGCCTGTCTTAGTCTCCCTTCCTGCGACTTCCATCCTCACTTCTCTCTTCCAGGCATCCTGCTCTTTCAAGCACCACTCCTTTGCTCATACTATTCCTTAGGCCTGGAACAGCTGTTTCTACCTTTTCCACCTAAAAGAAAGTCTACACACACACAAACAATGACAAACAGCACACCTCCTCTGATCCCAAGCATGTGGGTTATAAATAGGAAAAACCCAACTACATCAAGCAATAAATAAATAATGGAATTTACTGGACCTTCTAATTGAAAAGGTCAGTGGTAATGCCAGCTTCAGGTGTGGCTGGAACCGAGAGCTAAAATGATACCGTTAGGTTTCTTCTCTCTCTGACTACCTCTGACCTCTGTTTGTCTTGTCTTTCTTTGTGCGTTGGCTTCAGTCTCACAGATACTACTTCTCTGTGTCAAAAAAAGATGTTCACAAAGAGCCCCAACTTACATCACCCTTAGCCAGAGCCAGCTTATCCATTACACGTAGTAGGCACATAATACTTAGGCTCACAATACTTTCAGGGACACAGAAAAATGTTTTCAATATTTAAAAAAAAAAATGGATGTTCAGTTGAAGAAAATGTTTTAATATATGGTATTAACATACTTTTATACAGTCATGAAATTTAATTTTTGGTTCATTTTTATAGAAAACAGACAGTCTGGGCGTGGTGGCTCACACCTATAATCCCAGCACTTTGGGAGGCCGAGGCAGGTGGATCACAAGGTCAAGAGATTGAGACCATCCTGGTCAACATGGTGAAACCCCATCTCTACTAAAAATACAAAAGTTAGCTGGGCATGGTGGTGCACGCCTGTAATCCCAGCTACCCGGGAGGCTGAGGTGGGAGAATTGCTTGAACCCAGGAGGCGGAGGTTGCAGTGAGCTGAGATCACGCCATTGCACTCCAGCCTGGGTAACGAGAGCAAAACTCTGTCACAAAAAAGAAAAGAAAAGAAAAGAGACAAAGGCAAAAGTGCTTGTTGCAGCACACAAAAGATACAATAAGGCCCTGGCTGCCTGTCACAAAGAAAGAGAGAGCCTTTCTTTCGGTTTTCATGTGTTAAATCTTAGGAAAAACTCTGATTATCCCTAATTGGATCACATTCCAGAATACGCTCACTAGAAGGATGCAGGACTCTGATTGGCCAGGCTCAAGTCTCACGCCCACCCCGAGGAGGAAATATGTCAATCCCAAAGCAACACAAGGAATGTGGTTTCCTATGATAAGATTCTGTTTCAAGAACTGTCCAGCAAAACTTAACTATCTTCCCCCAAATGCTCCTTCCCTTACAAACACCTTCTCTCAGGAGAACCGATTGCTTCCACTTTTGCATTTTCTTAGCAGTTTGTTCTAGTATGATTGTAAGTGACTGAATCACAGAGCTTCCTACTCTGCAGTGTGAGTTCCTTGAAAGCAGAGTTAAAGAGTGGGCTGTAGAGACCTGAACCATGAGAATGAGCAGGAAAAGGGGTTAGCTCTGCAGGAGAATAGGAGGAGGGGATCTTTACCTGGGTCTTAAAGGCTGGAAGTCTTCCTGGAAGAAGGGGTATTTTCACTGGGTTGACAGATGAGGTAGGACTCCGGGAGGCAGCAAGAAGTGAGAAGCATCAGGATGGCAAGTAGTTAGGGTGTGAAGTAAAAGGATGTAGCAGGAGATAAAGCTGAAAAGAGACCAGGACAAGACTGGAGGAGGGGCGGTCAGTGCCACATAAAGGAGTGTGGCTTTTATCCTGCAAGCCAGGGCTCTTCACCTGGGCCCATGGAGAGGCTCTGGAGGGCCTGAAATTGTGTGTAGGCTGTTGCATGTTGGTACAGGAAAGGTTCGTGGTACTCATCAGATTTCCAAAGGGGTTCCTGTCTTAAAATGATTAAGAATTATTAATATTAGGCTGGGAGTGGTGCCTTGCGCCTGTAATCACAGCACTTTGGGAGGCCGAGACAGGCAGATCACTTGAGGTCAGGAGTTTGAAACCAGCCTGGCCAACATGGTGAAACTCCATCCCTACAAAATTTAGCCAGGCGTGGTAGTGAGCACCTGTAATCCCAGCTACTCAGGAGACTGAGGTATGAGAATTGCTTGAACCCAGAAGGTGGAGGTTGCAGTGAGCCAAGATAGCACCACTGCATTCCAGCCTGGGCAGAGTGAGACCTGCCTCAAAAAAAAAAAAGAATTATTAGTAATAGAGATATATTCAAACTCCTTGAGGAAGGAGAGCATGGTCTGGTGTATAATTAGAATAGCACTCTGGCAGTTACTCTGTGGAGGATGGACTAAAGGAATAGGCAGAGATGGGGAGAGCTGGCAGGAATCTGTTAGAAGGGTCTGGGTGGAAGATGACATGGGCTTCAAATGGGGCTTCAAATGGGGCAATCCTAGCTTTAAAAAAAAAAAAAGGAGGTGATCCATTGGAATTAAAAGATGTTGTAAGCTGGGCACAGTGGCTCACACTTGTAATCCCAGCATTTTGGGAAGCCCAGGAGAATGGACCACTGGAACCCAGGAATTTGAGACCAGCCTGAGCAACATAGCGAGACTCCATATTTACAAAAAATTTTTACAAATTAGCCAGGCATGGTGTTGTGTGCCTGTGGTCTCAGCTGCCTAGGATGCTGAGGTGGGAGGATCACTTGATCCTGGGAGCTTGAGGCCACAGTGAGCAATGTCTGTGCCACTGTACTCCAGCCTGGACAACACGGCAAGACCCTGTCTCAAGAAAAAGATGTTGTAGCAGTGATGTTAACTGGAGCTTACTGCAAGTTGGGGATGATAGAGAGGAAGAGAAAGTGACCCCAAGACTTCTGGTTTGCACTATGATCTGTCATAGGATTATTTACAAATTATTTTATTATTGTTTGTACCTGTTCCTCTCATTTAGAGAATGCCTTTTTAAAAAAAGAAATAAATGTTATTTCATTTAATTTCAAAGACTTTTTTAAAGTACAAAGTTTAAAGTCTCTGATATATACAAACTTCTACTTTCTTAAAGTATGATATTACCATTGTACGTATTTTATAACTATGGATCTATGTTTTGAATTTATGTCTTTCAGTGCTTAATATGAAGAGAATGTCTTTGAAGGTACACATGGGCTTTGCAAGGCATTTTGCTTTTCTAAATCCTGACTCTGTCGCCCTCCACAGCTACCCACTCCCTTCTCCAGTGCTCAGCAGCTCGGACCGGTTGCCTTTTGGCATTGAGGAGAACGGGGGCACGCCGTTCCTCACTGCAGCTTCAGGAAGGCACCACCACCAGCACCAGCACCAGCACCAGCACCATCACTCAAACTACAGCCTCTCACTGACCCTGGAGAACAAAGAGGGGCCTCTCAGGTCCCCAAACTCCAGCAGCAAGTCCCTTACAAGTGAGTAGGGATGGAGGGGGCAAGGCAGGAGAGGGGGGAGCAATGCTGCAGGGCATGAGCCTTCCCTGGATTCTTAAGACAGACCCTTGCTGTGCAGCACACAATGGTGGTCATGTTCTGCAGGGCTACCAGGTGTGGGCCAGAGTAGACAAGAGCCTTATGCACTTGAGTAGAAGTACTTTAGGGATTATGGCTTACCAATAAACTCCAGTTTCATTACAGGGTCACAGTACTCCACCTCCCTTTTTTTTTTTTTTTTTTTGTTAAGACTCCAAATGGAGTCTAGCTCTGTCACCCAGACTAGAGTGCAATGACCTGATCTCAGCTTGCTGCAACCTCCACGTCCACCTCCCAAGCGATTCTCTTGCCTCAGCCTCCTGAGTAGTTGAGATTATAGGCAGGTGCCACCCTGCCTGGCTAATTTTTGTATTTTTAGTAGAGACAGGTTTCACTATGTTGGCCAGGCTGGTCTCAAACTCCTGACCTCAGGTGACCCACCTGCCTCGGCCTCCCAAAGTGCTGGGATTATAGGCGGGAGCCACCACGCCCAGCCTCTACTTTCTTAACAGTTCTCTGCTTGTGCAGTAACCAGTAGGGGCTTGAGCAATGGAAGAGAGAAAGAGGTGAGGGAAGTAATGGTTGGGCTTTCTACTTTCTTCATTACAGAAAAAGACATTCTATCCCATTTCTGACATTCCATTTCTGAGAGCAAGGTGGTGTCAGGTAGATGCAATCTAGTCCACTGTTATGGGTCCCAGGAAGAGAAGTTACAAAAATAGAGAGTGAGCCCTTAGAAATTTTATTATTTTATTTTATGACAGGGTCTCACCATGCTGCCCAGGATGATCTTGAACTCTTGGGCTCAAGAAATCCTCCTGCTTCAGCCTCCCAAAGTTCTGGGATTATAGGCATGAGCCACCATACACAGCCCAGAAATATTGTTAGCAATATAATAGAGTGATGTTATATCTGTTAAATCTAATTTAAAAAGTGGGCTTTGATTCTGCATGTCCATTATTTTATTTTTCTAGAAACTCGCTTTGGTTAAACATTACCAAAGAATTCATCTCTGGTAGACTAGCAGGAAAGAACCTGCTGTTTATCGAATGTTGTTTGAAAAGTACTGAAGTCCAGGCACGGTGGCTCGCCCCTGTAATCCCAGCACTTTGGGAGGCCGAGGTGGGCATATCACTTGAGGTCAGGAGTTCAAGACCAGCCTAGCCAACAGGGTGAAACCCCGTCTCTACTAAAAATACAAAACTTAGCTAGGTGTGGTGGCAAGCGCCTGTAATCCCAGCTACTCGGGAGGCTGAGACAGGAGAATTGCTTGAACCTGGGAGATGGATGTTGTAGTGAGCCAAGATGGTGCCACTGCACTCCAGCGTGGGTGACAGAGTGAGACTCTGTCTCAAAAACCAAGGCCAGGCACGGTGGCTCACGCCTGTAATCCCAGCACTTTGGGAGGCCGAGGCAGGTGGATCACGAGGTCAAGAGATCGAGACCATCCTGGTCAACATGGTGAAACCCCGTCTCTACTAAAAATACAAAAAATTAGCTGGGCATGGTGGCGCATGCCTGTAATCCCAGCTACTCAGGAGGGGGTAACAACAGCGAAACTCCATCAAAAAAAAAAAAAAAAAAAAGAAAGAAAGAAAGAAAGAAAGAAAGAAAGAAAGAAAGAAAGAAAGAAAGAAAGAAAGAAAAGAAAAGTACTGAAGTGGAGGCTTCGATTCTTTTTGATTCTAACTCTCACCTTTGAACTGGGTCCCCTCTTTGATCTACGATTTTCTCATCCATGAAATGGGTAGAGGGTATTGAGATGATAACCAAGGAATCTTCCAGCTCTGATACTGCATAAGTTTGTGAGCTGATGAGACAAGATGGGTCATTCAATCTTCACCTCGGGGCCACAGGGAACAACTCTGTGTTGGCTGAGCTGGAAATGGGAACTTGACACCTACTTGGTATCAAAGAATCAGAACTCTATCCCCTCATCACTGTCCATGCTGCCTATGCCCTAGTCCCTGCCTCATCTTTGTATATCTAGATAACCATAACAGCCTCCTAAGGGGCACCCCCTCCAGCACAATCTCCAAATAGTAGCTGCCAAAGTCATAGCTCTCACCCCATAGCTCTGACCACATGCCGTGAGACCTTTCATTGGCTCTTCACTGTCTGGGATAAAGTCCTCGCTTCTGAGCAGGGCTATACGCAGACCTGTGTATCCTGACCCCTGCTAAGGTTTCCATTCTTCCCTCCACTTCTAACCACACTCTAGCTACACGGAGCTACTCTCTTCTCACCAAATACTCTGCTGGGTCTCAACTCTGTCCTTTGCACATGCTGCTGCCTGGAATGCTTTTCCCCACCTTGGTGAACTCCTACACAGCCCTTAGGAGCACGTTCAAATGTTTGGTTGTCAGTGAAATGTTCTCCTCTAACATCTGTCCGCAATTTCTGGCTTTGGAGCGCCTTCGTCTTGCTCATATAGCAATTAAATGAACCTTTTCTCAGTCTTCGGAATATCTCCACTGTTTCTGTCATCCCCATTAGACTAGAATTGTGTCTCATTCACCTCTTTATTTCAGCTCCCAGATCCCAATTGCTAATGATACTTGGCACGAGTTTTAATATGTAATGAATATTTAATATGTAATGAATATGTAATGTATTAATGAGTAAATTCAAGCTAGAAGGAGAAGTAGTGGCAAACAAATCCAAAGTAGCACAAAAATCAAAATCAACGGATTTGATTTTAGGAATATAACATGGCTTTTAAGGGTACATTATATGCCTGTTAGCCTAAACACTAATCTTTCCAATTTGCATAGTGCTTTTCCATTTTTAAAGCATTTATACATAAATGACTTCATTTTATACTCACAGCAACCCTGCAAGGTAAGTAGTTTTATTTTCTTTTTTAAATAGCTCAGAGGGTCAGAGAGGCAAAACGACTTACCCACGGGTGTCCAGCTCATGTGCGGCAGTTAGGCCTTGAAACTTTGACCTCAGATATTCTCACACCCCATCAGGTGATGCATACTCAAGGCATGAGAGCTGCTGGAGGAGGAGAAAGCCGGCAGAAAGCGTGCTGGGAATCGGGCGCTGCCAAGTCGTCCTTTTCCTCCTTATCTATCTGTCCTTTCAACTTTCCTTATTTATTTCTCCTGGCTGCTTTGTAGAACTGAGTCCAGGAACACCTGCCTTGTTCAGTGAAGCCGCTGCTCATCTAAAGAAACTGGAACTGGAAACTGTGAAGGCTGCTGGACCCTGGCCTCCTCTGCACATCAACATAAACAAGGTGCCAACATAAACAAGGGCTGGGGCTCTGCAGTGACCATGTGCAGTGACCATGGACTTGGTGCTGACATCAGACCTCTGATGACTCCCCTAGCCTGCCGGCTAAACCAAGTGCCTTTGCCTTGAGGGGATCGCTACTCTCTTTCCTGACATTTCTGTTCAGGCTGTCCTTTAGGAGCAAATATTTACTTACCTTCCTTTCAGGTGAATTATAGCATTTGGCGCCGTTCTTGGTGTCTTGCCCGACAGGCTAGATCTGTTTGTTAGTTGTCTCTCCCACCTGCTAGATCAAAAGCTCCAGAGGAAGCCTCCACATTTACCACTTTCCATTTCTAGTCCTCTGTTTCCCTCTGACAATGCCCGGCACATAGTAGATATTCAGTAACCATTTCCAGATAGAAAGAAGGGAGGGATTGAGGTAAGGAGGGAGGAGGAGACAGGGCAGAAGCCAAGCCCCCTTTTGGCTAAACCCCTCCTCCTCCTCCTCCTCCTCCTCCTCCTCCTCCTCCTCCTCCTCCCTCCTCCCTCCTCCTCCTTCCTCCTCCTCCCTTCTCCTCCTTCCTCTTCCTCCTCCTCCTTCCTCCTCCTTCCTCCTCCTCCACCTCCTCCTCCTTCTCCTCTTTCTCCTCCCGCTCCTCCTCCTCCTCCTCCTCCTCCTCCTCCTCCTCCTCCTCCTCCTGATGGAGTTTAGCTCTGTCACCCAGGCTGGAGTGCAGTGGCACAATCTCAGCTCACTACAACCTCCACCTCCTGGATCCAAGTGATTCTCCTGCCTCAGCCTCCTGAGTAGCTGGAATTACAGGCACCTGCCACCATGCCCAGCTAATTTTTGTATTTTTAGTAGGGACAGGGTTTCACTGTGTTGGTCAGGCTGGTCTCTTAACTCCTGACCTCATGATCCACCCGCCTCAGCCTCCTAAAGTGCTGTTTTGCAAGCATGAGCTACCACACCTGGCCAAGGCTAAACCTATTCTTACATCTAAATGGGCAGCCTTGTAAAAGCCAAATTTTATCTTAGAAGGATACATACCGCTGCTAGATTCCATCTGTCATTTAGTTCAACCTTCTCAATATCTCAGATCAGAGGAAGGGAAATACTTTCTCAAGGTTGCACAGCCCTTGACAACTCTCAATATCTCAGACAAGAAGAAAATGACGTTCTCAAGGTTGCATGGCCCTTCCCAAGGTCACAAGGCCCTTGACTCTCCATCCTGTGTCCTTTGCACTCCAACATGTTTCTTCCTTTTCTACTCCAGCGTTTCTCAACTTCGGTGCTAGTGACACTTTGGGCTGATGACTCTTTGATGCAGTGGCTATCCTGTGCCTTGTAAAATGTTTGCAGCCACAACCCACTAAATGCCACTAGCAACCCCCATCCAGTTGTGACAATGTCTCCAGACATGGCCAGATGTTCTCAGAAGGGCAAAATCTCCCTAGTTGAGAAACTCTGTTGTACCTACACTTTAATTCTTTAAATCCCCAAAGGAAGAATCTTTTTCAATCATGATTCCTTTCTGCCACTTTAATGCTTAGCTTTGTCCCTTTATGAGAGGGAATAGGAAGAATTTGGAAGAACTGAACTAAGAAGCTCCCACTCCTGCCCAGTGCAGCATAGGAAGGTTATACCTCCTGCCCTTCCCCTCCCTGACCCTCCCCTAATCCCTCAGCTGGGTGACCTAAAGTTCCTGTGATTACTAATGGTCCCAACTTCAGGTTTAACCTCCAAAGCCCTGCTCATTCACTTTGTTTTCCTGTACCACCCTCCGTGATGGCCAGCTGGAGAGAATTCCTCCTGCAGGATGGCTCTGAGAGCCATTCAATCAACAAATCTTTATTGAGCAGGCTTGCCTTAGTTGCTGAGGATTCAACCCAATGCACCGTGTGTCCCTAGATTGGTATTCTTTCTCTTAGTCTCTTGGTTTTCAACTTTTCTTCTGCAATATACATGATAAATGGTTTTAATGGGGGCTTATCCAGAGTTTGACAAAATCCAAAAATATTTTGCGAGGAAATACAGCATATAGTGTAGCACAGAACTCACAAGGTCCATAGTGATTTGCAGTCTCCATGACTATTGGTGGGGCATTGACAATAGCAGCTTGCTCTGGGTGAAAACCTACCTGAGACACCTGTGGGTTATCCAGCATTTCCCTGGAGTTCAAGTTACAGCTCCCTTCCTAGCTCCTCCACAACCCAAAAATTGGCCTGGCACGGTGGCTCACGCCTGTAATCCCAGCACTTTCGGAGGCCAAGGCAGGTGGATCTCTTGAGGTCGGGAGTTCAAGACAAGCCTGGGCAACATGACAAGACCCCGTCTCTACTATAAGTACAAAAATTAGCCAGGTGTGGTGGTGGACACTTGTAATCCCAGCTACTTGGGAGGCTGAGGCAGGAAATTGCTTGAACTCACAAGGTGGAGGTTGCAGTGAGCTGAGATCCCACCACTGCACTGCAACCTGGGCAACAGAGTGAGACTCTGTCTCAAAAAACAAACAAACAAATGCATTAGTAATCAAGTAAGCGAAAGCGATGTGATTATACAGATAATTTTGACTTTGTCCTGACACACACACACACACACACACACAATATATATATATTACTTCACACTTTGATTTTTTTTTTTTTTTTTTGAGATTATGTCTCGCTCTGTTTCCCAGACTGGAGTACAATGGCATGATCTCAGCTCACTGCAACCTCTGCCTTTCAGGCTCAAGCAATTCTCCTACTTTACCCTCCTGAGTAACTAGGATTACAGGCATGTGCCACCACACCAGCTAATTTTTATATTTTTAGTGGAGACAGGGTTTCACCATATTAGCCAGCCTGGTCTTGAACTTCTGGCCTCAAGTGATCTGACCACCTCAGCCTCCCAAAGTGCTGGGATTACAGGTGTGAGCCACTGAACCTGGCCACACTTTATCATTCATGAAACATTCCTTGCAACACACCTCACTTCTGATCATGACACCAAAATTGGGAGCCACTGGCTTGGATGGCTTTTAAGGCTTTTTCCAGCCTCAAGGATCAAGAGTCCTCTGATTCTTCTAAGGTTTGGATAACTTCCTGTTCTTGATTGGATGGTGACATATCATTTTCACTGTCCAGTTCCAAAGTTCGTGCCCAAAATTAACACAAAAATTTCATTCTCATTAGATTTTAGATGTGTAAACAATTTGCATAAGCAATTTAAATATACATCTGATCATTTCTTTATCACCAAACAATATCCCCAAACAGATGAACTATTTCCAACTATAATAACATCAAAGCCTAATTGTCATTCATGTCTGTGTTTTGAAATTCTGTAATCCATATTGAACAACAAAGTATCTTTCCTCAATTCAAATTGACTGAACATAAAACATAAAATACAGTCACAGGGAAAGAGAAAGCACATTCTTGGAGCCATCCTCCAGGCAGGAATGATATAGTCTTGTAACCCAGATGTTTATCTCCCACAGAGATAGCTTTTATACAAATTCATATAATGATGCACACATTTCCCAAAATGTATATCGGCCTTCACCTGTGTCAATTCATATAGCAGAATATTACAGGTCTTGCTTTGTCCAGGGTGAACAAGAACAAGCCAGCTTGAATTTTATGTCTAAAAAAGCAGTTTAGAATTAGTAAATTCAAGGGGAAAAATCAATGCTAATTTCTCATTCTTATTTTAGCAGCATTCAATTTTTTGAAGTGGGTCCTCAGTCATTACTGCCAGTATAACTACTTCCCCTTAAGCAATTGTCAAAAGCCTCAAATGGGCTTTGTAACCAACTTGACTCCTGTATGCCAGCATACCATTCTGAAAAATTAAATCTAATTTTAAAATTATCTCTTCATGCACCAATAAAATATCCATTCAATTATCTTGATGTAACAGGATTTATAAACACAAGATAAATTAACTTAAGGGTATACTGTAAACCTCACCTTTCAAAATAAATGTTACTTATTTGCCTGAAGGAGAAAGTGGAGGCCCTCGGGATAATGAATCCAGTCAAATGAGCCAGCTTTCTTCAAAGTCAGCTTGACAGCCCAGGAACCATTGATGGCTCAGAATCGATCATTAGTGTTCTCACATCTAATGCTCTTTTTTTTTTTTTTTTTTTTTTTGGTTATATATATTTGCTAACTAAAGAATCTAACCTGAAAGTGCCATTTATATCTGTTTTTCTCACTTAAGCACCATAACAATCTTAGGTAGAAACAGATTGAGAGAATTTCAGGGGAACCAGTATGACTGAGTAGTCAGGAGCTCCGACTTTGGAGTAACCAACATCACCATTCTTGGCTGTCAGTCTTGGCTCCTCTGCTTACTTCCTGTGTGACTATGGGCAAGTGACTTACCATTTCTCTGCCTTTTTTTTTTTTGTATCTATAAAATGGGGATAGTGATAGTAGTTACCTCGAACTGAGATGGTTACATGAGGGAACTTGGTGAGACATGAATATGAAATGCATAGTCAGTGGCTAACCCATAATAAGCTCTCAGTATATGTTGGCAACTGGCTTTTTGTTTTGTTTTGTTTTTTGAGACAGGGTCTTGCTCTGTTGCCCAGGCTAGAGTGCAGTGGTGCAGTCTTGGCTCACTGCAACCTCCATCCCACAACCTAAGCTCTGGATTACATCTCAGCCTCCTGAGTAGCTAGAATTACAGGTGCATGCCACCACAACCTGCTAATTTTTCTATTTTTAGTAGAGATGGGGTTTTGCTGTGTTTCCCAGCCTGGTCTCCGACTCCTGGGCTCAAGTGATCCACCCGTCTCAGCCTCCCAAAGCACTGGGATTATAGGAGTGAGCCACCTTGCTCAGTCCATCATCATTTTTTTTAATTAATGGTGCAAGTAAGTGAAAGAGCTGAGATTCAAATCTGTCTTTGCCTGTCTTGCTGTTACATGAAATTGGAGAGTTCTGTTTGGTCTACCAAATGCTTCTCCATGTGTTTCGAGGTCCCCCTGGGAAACTCTACACTATTTCTTAATTTCTTTATTAAATGATGTTTGCTGGCCAGTTGCTCTCCACTTCCTCTACAGCTTTCATAGCACTTGGTGTGTACCAGTGTGTTCAGTAGGACTTCTTAATTAGTGAATAAGATTAATGTTGGAACTTGCAGAACCTGAGAGCGTTAGGACATTTTATTCTGGCTGTGGGGCATGTGGCTGATATGTCACATTTAGTCCTAATATTACTGAACTGACCTCTAGCAATCATATGGTCATGTGCCTTTCTTATTAAACACGTCTCTTCTAATAATGACTGCATATTATCATAACCTTCTTTAGTAGGTATTTATTGGACACCTACTATGTGCTGAGTACCACATTAGCATTGGGATATGAAATGAAATGACCACAGTAGGCATGGTTAACAATAAGACATTATTTCCCAAAATGTGTTGTATATACCATCAAAGATGGCTTCAGATTGTATACATGGATGAATATTTTTTATTTTAATAGTGATGTGGATGTCATCATGTTTATTATAGTAAACATAATAGTCACAAAGCCTATAATTTCAAAGATATTATTGCTTTGGACACAATTCAAATAGGTAGTCCCAGGGTAATTCACCTTAACTGGATCATGTGAATTATAGATACATGTTCAGTAAATACATGGGATATGGCAAAAATTATAAAAGTCGTGCAAATTACTGAAGTGCAAGACACTCTACAATAAGGTAACAGATACAGATTTCTTGTTGAAAAATCACAATTTTCTGCAAGATTTGTTGTCAAAATACCAATTAATATTTTGTACTCTTCCCCTGGACCCAGCAAGTCCCAGAATTGAGTCTTTCTATGTAAGAGATGGCAGTTATGGGGAAAATAACGCTGGATTCATGTGTAGGAGACTTGAACCAGAAGATGTCCTGTTCTGCCACTGGTTCTTGCCCCAGGATGCTGGAAGAGCCTTCTTCTCTCTTTGAACCTTTACCCTGACTTCTGGTAGAACCTCACCCTATTTCATGAGGGAATGAGATGCTGTACTGGGGAATCCCTTGCAAATTGTAAGGGACTGGTAACAATACAAGGAGTTAGTGATACACCTGTCTGTGTATCTAGATCTATGTGTTCTATGCAATTGTTGGGAAAAGTTAATGAACATGTTTTTCTCTCCTTGTTTATAATCTGCTGTTTGTATTTTGGTTTGTCTCAGGCTGAAGAAAAGAAAGTCTCAGAGAAAACTCTTCAGACTCCACTTTTGCCTTCCCCTGTGGCGGATCACGTGAAGTGTAACATTCTGAAAGCTCAGTTGGAAAATGCTTCCCGAGTGAACATCCAGGTGCGCAGAATGCATACATTCCTTTGATTTCATGTTATAGGATTTTCTCCATGTCACAGAGAAGAAAGAGGCACCATAGGACTGAGATGCTGTGTCAGTCAGGGTCCAGTCAGGAGATGGAAACTGGTTATGTGAACCATACCTGATATGTGAACCATGATTTTAATATAAAGAAATATTGCCTGGTGTACAGTTATTTATTAGGTACATGAAAGGATAAAGAGAACTTGAAGGCAGTGGTTCTCAAATGTTATTGGGCATAAGTCACCTGGAAAACTGGGCTCTGTCCCCAGAGATTTGGTAAATTGGGGCTCATGAATATGCCTTTCCTTCCTTCTTTCCTTTCCTTTCCCTTCCCTTCCTTCCTTCCTTCTTTCCTTCCTTCCTTCCTTTCCCTTTCCTTCCCTTCTTCCCTCCTTCCTTCCTTCCATGCTCTCTCTCTCTTTCTCTCTTTCTTTCTCTTACTCTATTGCCTAGTCTGGGCTGCAGTGGTGGGATCATGGCTCACTGCAGCCTCAACCTCACAGGCTCAATCAATCCTCCTGCCTCAGCCTCCCGAGTAGCTGGGACTACATGTGCACTCCGCCACACCTGGCTAATTTTTGGATTTTTTTTGTAGAGATGGGGTTTTACCATGTTGGCCAGCCTGGTCTTGAACTCCTGGACTCAAGCAATCCTCCCACCTCAGCCTCCTAAAGTGTTGGAATTACAGGCATCAGCCACTGTGCCCAGCCTGAATATGCATTTCTAACGAGCCCATAGGACCGCATTTTGGGTCACGCTATGCTAAGGTACCAGAGATAGCAACTCCAGGCAGCACTTTCCAGCAGCTGAGGAAACAGAGATGCTGTCAATATTAAAATTTAGATATCTGGAGGAGAAGCCCTGTGGAGACGAAACTCACACTTCTAAGCATGGGTACTGTGCCTGGCACTGGCATTTCTGAGCTCTTAAGACATGCCTCAGATTGAGGAGGGGACATCAGCTGGCTGGTGCTGATATGTCTGAGGTGGACACCGTGCAGCTGGATCTGCCAGTGTTGGAAAACTGCAAACTGTATTCAGCTGCGACTGCAGGAGGAACTGCTGCTGCCCACATGAAGCAGCAAGGATGCGGTGGCTCACAGGAGCAGGAAGCAGACAGGAAGGAGCACATTCCTCCCCATGAGCACCCCTTATGGACAGAGCCTATCATGGAGCCATCTATCAGGTTATTGTGAAGATTATGTGAGATGATCTATACAGAGTACCTGTTGCAAAGCCTTGCTGTATCACTACGGAGATATTGATAACAATGATCACAGTTGTGGTGTGATGAAATTGCTGGGGGCACTGATTGCTTGCAGATAACAGTGGTGGCCCTTTTTAGAGGATGGTCAGGTTTACTTCCCATCACAAACTCAGTAATGTCAAGGTTATAGTCACAAATTCTTTATTTTCATTCTACCTTCATTGTTTTCAGGGATGCCATTTTTATACTATCACAGAACAAACAAAACTGACACATATTTTGCAATTTACAAAGCTGTAATTATCTACATTAGAAAGTTCTAGTGTGTTCTCAATAGCCCCATGCTGCAGGTTTTATGTGTGAGGGACGCATATTTCTGCTCCATTGAAGAAGTACAGTATATTGAAAATATTCCATTTTGTAAAGTATAGGGAAGAGGTGAGAAATAGATAAGAAAACATTTCCTGGCCAAAAAGACATAGTGGAAGGGCATGAAAGCAGGAAAAAAGTGGGCCAGTGTGAAGTCAGTGATTTTACAGCAGTGTTTCCCAAGATGTTATAGGGAACACTGGCCCCATGAGATGCTCCCTGATAATTCAGGAAATGCTGCACACTAAATCCCATGGGACAGTCCCAATATACATTAGCTTCTTATAGGCTCTGGAAAGTCCGGCAGGAAAGAAGCCTGTTTTACTTTCTTTCACACCCAACTGGCCATAGAACGCTTTGTAAAGTAGCTCCTACTGTCATCTGTAGAACTAATATCCACAGTAACACAGAAATTTGCTTTGGGAATCCATGGTTTAGAGGGTTTTGAGGGGTTGTGATGGAGTGAGAGGAGGCTGATGCACAGCCAAGTATACTGCCAGGGCTTTCAGTTTTAATCCCCTATCGGCATTAGTGCACAGCAAGAGTATAAAGACAGGAAGCAGAAGTCAAACAGACTAATGGTCCTATCTGTTGCTAACTCTATAAAAGGCTTTGGCTGGGCATGGTGGGTCATGCCTGTAATACCAACATTCTGGAGGCCTAGGTGGGCAGATCGCTTGAGCCCAGGAGTTCAAGCCTGGGCAACATGGCGAAACCTCATCTCTACAAAAAATATGAAAAAAAAAATTAGCTGTGTGTTGTGGTGTGAGCCTGTAGTACCAGCTACTCTGGAGGTTAAAGCAGGTGGATTGATTGAGCCTGAAGGTCAAGGCTACAGTGAGCCAGGTTCGTGATGCTGCACTCCAGCCTGGGCAACAGAACAATACACTGTCTCGAGAAATAAAAAAATTAAAAACAAAAATAAAAAAGTCTGATTGGATCTATATGCGGGACATCTTGACAGGCTAATCACCATGTCCTCCAAGCCAGTAGACTTGAAATCTCTGCTCAATATGTATTTAGAACAGAGGCCAAGTTCTGTATGTTGTGATGGGCATGTGGGCTGCAGGCCTCTGCATGTTCAATTGACCACTAGTGTATGGTCAGCTGGCCTGGCTGGCTGGGTGGGTGTCTCTTCTTCCCCCACCATTCTTTGTGGGACTCATCAGAGGGAGGCGGACAGGGCTTCTCTCAAAATTCTGTGACATAACTCCTGCCAGGCTGTTATGGTTGTCATGCTGATGTGAAAGGACAGATTCCAAATTCCTTTGTAAACTGTAAGTGCTATGAGCTGATTATTATTCCTGACCTCAACTGTGAGGTGAGGGATTAAACTGAGGGCTTGGCTTTTCCCACGAGATCCCTTTCTAATTCAGGCATCAGCTGGCACGTAGCAGGTGTTCAATAAAAGTATGAATGCCGGAATTGATTGCATCTGAATGATTTTCTTAATCCCATTTCTTAGGAAAACATTTTTTTGTTAATGTATATAAACACCAGAGCAAGATTCTCTATTGATTGAATACTCTTTGGTTCACTTGCCAATTTCTGTAATCTTTTGAATGTAAGAGACTTGAAAACATTTTTTGCATGCCAACATGTTCAGTTTTGACTAACCTGAATACTTTCTTCAACAGGGTGGAAAAGAGGAATCAACATTTGTAAATATAAATAAGAAATCCAGTCTTCAGGACGCTAATGTAAGGTCTGTTGCTTCTTGTCTGAATGGGGAAATGATTATTCTCTATATCATCATCATTATCCTTGAAACATTGCTCATGAGGGCATTAGCTGATAAAATCAGAGGATAAATAAATGAGAATATGAGCCCAAAGAGATGGAAAAAGACTGGCTTAACCAACTTTCTGCAAGCCTCAAAAATTCTGCTTATTCTCAGGTTTCAATATCTCTGCCTGCTGCATTAACAATGAAATCAATCACTTTGGGTTGTCTCTCAAGCATGTAGACTTGACCTTGCCATCCCCCTGCTTAAAGTCCTTCCAAGGGTCCGTTTGAATCAGAATGAAATCCCAACTCCTTAACAGAGTGCAGGACGCCCTTCATGACCTGGCTTCTGCTCACAATTCCAGCTTGGCCTTGGCCCAGCTTCCCTTGGTGCATTGATGTGCCCTGCCCGCTGAGCTTCTTGCCAGTGCTGGAGCCACATATGTTCGTGTTTAAAATTTATTTACTTGTTTTTATTGTTATTATTTCTTGCGATGGAATCTCTCTCTGTTGCCCAGGCTGGAGTGCAGTGGTGCGATCTCAGCTCCCTGCAACCTCCACCTCCCGGATTCAAGTGATTCTTATGCCTCAGCCTCCTGAGTAACTGAGATTACAGGTGTGTGCCACAGTGCCCAGCTAATTTTTGTATTTTTAGTAGAGACGGGGCTTCACCATGTTGGCCAGGCTGGTCTTGAACTCCTGACTTAAGTGATCCACCCACCTTGGCCTCTCAAAGTGCTGAGATTACAGGCATGAGCCATTGTACCGAGCCTATTTTTTGTTTGTATAAATGTATGGGGTAGAAGTATAACTTGGACCTATGCATAGATTGCATAGTAGTAAAGTCAGAACTTTTGGAATATCCGTCACTCAAATAATGTACATTGTACCTATTAAGTAATTTCTCATCATTCGCCCTCCTCCTATTCCATACACATGTTCTTTACAGCTTCCAGGCCACCACCACCCCAAACCCAGAGGAAGCCCTTCCTCCCCTGATCTCACAGAGAACACGAGGAACTCTTTCTCAGCACAAGTGAGGGATAACCTATAGATCATGGTGGTCTCATTGCCACCTGGTGGTTTATTAACACCAACAGGGTCTCCTTAGGGTAATTTCCCAAAATGGGTCCAAGGACTCAGAGTCTCTTGTTAAAAACACAGACTCATTGAGATACCACCTCATGTCAGTTACAATGGCTATCATAAAACAATCTGGAGACAACAGATGCTGGAGAGGATGTGGAGAAATAGGAACACTTTTACGCTGTTGGTATGAGTGTAAATTAGTTCAACCATTGTGGAAGACAGTGTGGCGATTCCTCAAGGATCTAGAAATAGAAATTCCATTTAACCCAGCAATCTCATTACAGGGTATATATACTCAAAGGATTATAAATCATTCTATTATAAAGACACATGCACATGCATGTTCATCACGGCACTGTTTACAATAGCAAAGACCTGGAACCAACCCAAACGTACATCGATGATAGACTGGACAGAGAAAATGTGGCACATGTACACCATGGAATTCTATGCAGCCATAAAAAATGATGAGCTCGTGTCCTTTGTAGGGACATGGATAAACCTAGAAACCAACATTCTCAGAAAACTGACACAAGAACAGAAAATCAAACACCGCATGTTCTCACTCATAGGCGGGTGTTGAACAATGAGAACACATGGACACGGGGAGGGGAGCACCAGACACTGGGGTCCGTTGGAGGGGCTATGGGAGGGATAGTGGGAAGGAGGGTGGGGGAGGGATAATATGGGGAGAAATGTCAGGTATAGGTGATGGAAGGATGGTGGCAACAAACCTCCTTGCCATGATTGTACCTATGCAACAGTCTTGCATGATCTGCACATGTACCCTAGGATCTAAAGTACAAAAGAAAAAAAACAGCACAGACTCCTGGGTACTACTCCAGACCTTTGGCATCCTTCATGTGTATGTATGTGGTGGGGGTTTGGTGGGCACTGGTAGAGACAAGAATCATCACGTTAACAACCACCCAGGTGATGCAGAACCACTGCTCTAGGGAATTATCATGGTTGATGCCAAAAATAAAAGCTAACATTTCTCTACATCACCTTATGATTCCCAATCTGTGTTCTTGGTATAAATTTGTCTTACTCCAGAGATGCATACCCAGCTGCCTCTAGGACTTTTCAGAAACTTAATTCATCTCTTCCCACTGCACCCCACTAATCTTCACCTGTTTTCCATTCTTGGTCAATGGTATTGTTACCTACCCCTCACCCAGGCTAAAAATTAAGTTTCACTTTTATCTTTACTCGAGAATTTATGTCAGATAACCAATGGACCCTATCCAAAATAGAAATTTTAAGGAAATTTTAACTCCTGGGAGTTAAAACCTGGGAGTCCTTGATTTTCTCCTACCTTATTCCCTCATCTAATTGGTCACCAAGTCCTGGCAATTTGACTTCATTGTAGTTTCCACATCCATCCTCTTCTCTTGACTGTACCTTGAGCCCTCATTATCTGTCTTCCGGGCTTACTGCCGCAACAGTCCTCTAGATGCTCCTGGCCTCCCTTTCACCTGGGTCCTCTTCATTGTTCTAAGGACCTTTCTAAAATGCAAATCTGACTATGCCACTCCTTTGCCTAAAACCTTTAGAGAGTTGAGTTCCATTGCCTTCAGTTTAAACTCCTCAGCCTCTCCTATGACCTGGCCTCGACTTTCCCTCCAGTCAAAACCATCTACTTTTCTCCCGGGACCTCAGCAGACAGTAGTTCTACTGCCCTGCATTCAGCCAGGTCTCCACTCTGTCTCTCATCTTTGTGGTCTTCCCTCCATCCGGAAAGAGGAAACTCCTCCACGTAGCTTTTTCTGATGCTGACCATTCCACCCAAGAAAATTCATGTGCTCCCCAATAGACTGTACATTCTTCCAGGGACCATGTTCCCTTTACTCAGGAGTCACAGCCTGAGGAAACTGTGAGTGTGGAATGCATTGACTGAGATCCTCTATTTTCTCATTCATGTGTTTATTCAACATACTTTTTTTTTTTTTTTTGAGACAGGGTCTCACTCTGTCACCCAGGCTGCAGTGCAGTAGCATAATCATGGCTCATTGCAGCCCCTCAACCTCCTGGGCTCAGGTGATCTACCCACCTTAGCCTCCTGAGTAGCTGGGACTACAAGCACTGGGTAATTTTTGTATTTTTTGGAGAAATGGGGTATTATCATGTTGCCCAGGCTGGTTTCAAACTCCTGACCTCAAGTGACCTGCCTGCCTCAGCCTGCTAAAGTGTTAGGATTACAGGTGTGAGCCACTGCACCCAGTCTCAACATGCATTTTTAAAAAATTTATTTATTATACTTTAAGTTCTGGGGTACATGTGCAGATGGTGCAGGTTCGTTACATAGGTATACACATGCCATGGTGGTTTGCTGTATCCATCGTCCTGTCATCTACATTAGGTATTTCTCCTAATGCTATCCCTCCCAATTCCCCCACCCCCTGCTATTCTTCCCCTAGCTCTCCACCCACTAGGCCCTGGTGTGTGATCAACGTGCATTTATTAGACCCTGGTCACATACTTATCACCATATTGAGCCCTGACCCAGAAGTGTTAGTTGACTTGCTAGAGGTCCCTTTTAAGGACCTCAACTTGTTTTGATACCTTATTGGTCTTAGGAGGTAATGAACTGATTTTTTAGAAATGAAATTAGTCATGACCACTAAAAAAATGCATTAAAAAGTTTCCTTAAAATTACTATTTTGAGTAGCATCCATTGGTTATCTGGCGTCAATTCTTGAGTACAGATAAAAGTGAAACTTAATTTTTAGCATTTTCACACATACATGAAATTAAAATGTGTTACGGACCTCTAGCAAGTCCTAAAGGTCTTCTGACTATGCATTTTTCACATAAAATATAGTATGGTTCTTTATCTTTTAAAAAAATATATATAGTGTGTGCTATGTTTAAAATAAAATAGCTACCAGATTACTTGGAATTAAAAACAGATTATCCTTAGGTTTCTCTTCATTTTACCGGCAAAATCTGGTTATGAGCCAAATGCTCCGTCTGGTTCACCTCCCATATTGGGGTGCAGGAATGGCTGTTCAGGGCAGAGAAATTTTATTTGGTACCTCAATTATGTTTAGTTCTCTCACTTGCTATATCTTCTTTCCTATGTTTTTTTTTCTTACTGTTTGGATTTTCTATGGTTTTAAAAAAATATTATAATTATTAACTAAGTAAAGTAGAAAAGGCAAAAAAAACAAAACAAAACTGGATTTCTTGACTTTCAATGTCATTAAGGTGTAAATTAGCTGAGAAAGCAGTCCCTATGGCAAAAACAAGACCGTAAACCTGTTTTGATGGTATTGTTCTGTTTTTTGGTGTGTCTCTAGAAGTCCTATTCCTATTCGTGTGGAAACTACCCAGCCAGCTGTGGAAAAGCCGGAAATCAAGCCTCCCCGAGTGAGGAAGTTAACAAGACAGTATAGTTTGTGAGTTCTGTACTGCAGCTTTTTCAATTATAACAATTGTGATGACTACATGTTTAGGTCAAATGCTTCTTAGCCCCTCTGACTAGTTCCAGGGAGCCAGCTCCCAAATTCCATTTATTTCCAATTTAGGTAATAATGGTACTAGCCCTTTCTCCCTGAAAACCTTACATAGTTGGTATAAGGATTCATTGACTACTGTGTAATAAATTGCTCCCAAACTTAGTGTCTTAAACAATCCACTTCTATCACCTCACAGTTCCTGTGGAGTGGGGGTTGGGGCATGGCTTAGCTGGGTCTTCTGTGTTCGGGGCTTTTACATTCAAGGTGTCAGGGCTGCGGGCTCATCCGCAGGCTCATTCTTACGGTTGCTGACAGGGATCAGGTCCTCAAGGACTGTTGGACAGAGGTTGCCCTCAGCCTGTAGTCACTTAGGTCTCTCCAGCTGTCTCTATCAGCAAAAGCACACAAGAAGAGCCAGAGAGAGTGCCAGCAAGGCAAAGACACAGTCTTTTATAACCTATGCACAGCACTGACACCCTATCACTTTTTTTTTTTGAGACAGACTCTCACTCTGTCACCCAGGCTGGAGTATAGTGGGGCAATCTTGACTCCCTACAATCTACCTTCCAAGTTCAAATGATTCTCCTGCCTCAGCCTCCAGTTAGTTGGCATTACAGGTGTGAGCCACCATGCCCGGCTGATTTTTGTATTTTTAGTAGAGGCAGGCTTTCTCCATATTGGCCAGGCTGGTCTAGAACTCCTGACCTCAAGTGATCTGCCCACCTCGGTCTCCAAAAGTGCTGGGATGCAGGTGTGAACCACCATGCCTGGCCCCTATCACGTTTGCCATATTCTGTTAGTTAGAAGCAAATCGCTATGCCCAGCCCACACTCAAGGGGAGGATTATACCGGGGCATGAATACTAGGATGGGGATGATTACAAGCCACATCAGAAGCTACCTTCCACGGCATATCCGTGAAATGGCAGCCCTGTCTGTCAACATAGCCAAAGCTAATTACGGAGTTTTGACACCTGTAGGAGAAGCCATTTCCCAAAGTGTCCCGGAACCACCAGGGCCCATGTGCACCTGACTGTTCTAGGCATCGTTGAAAGTGACTTTGACAGTTCCCATCCAAAGACTCACAGTTTATTAGAGGGAAAGACAGGAGTCACAAATAATTTTAATCCAAAACAGAAAGGTAACTGCTGTCATAAGGGTGGGAAGTACTAGCAATAGTTGTAATACTGATCACAATAGTAGTTCCCATTTCTTTTTTTTTCTTTTTTTTTGAGATGGAATCTCGCTCTGTCACTCTGTCACCCATGCTGGAGTGCAGGGGCACAATCTCAGCTCATTGCAACCTCCGCCTCCTGGATTCAAGCAATTCTCTTGCCTCAGCCTCCCAAGTAGCTGGGATTACAGGTGCCTGCCACCATGCCTGGCTAATTTTTTTGTATTTTTAATAGAGATGGGGATACACTGATGTTGGCCAGACTGGTTTCAAACTCCTGACCTCCAGTGATCCACCCTCCTTGGCCTCCCAAAGTGCTAGGATTATAGGCATGAGCCACCACGCCCAGCCTGCAGTTCCCATTTCTTGACCTTAGCTATGGCATGGGGTACCGTGCCTAGATGTGTCATTGGTCAGAGAGTAACTACAGGGGGATCCTGGACGATCAGAAAGCATGGGGGCTTTGGAGTTGGAAAGGCTTCTGTTAGGGCTCTGGCTAGTTTACGGCGATAAACTCTTAGAAAAATGACTCTTTGATCCTCTCTTCCTCTGTAAAATGTATAAGATAATACCTGCCTCTGAGGAGGGTTTGTTTTTGTTTTTGTTTTTGTTTTCTGAGACAGAGTTTCGCTGTTGTTGCCCGGGCTGGAGTGCAATGGTGCAGTCTCAGCTCACGACAAATCCCCCTCCCAGGTTCAAGCGATTCTCTTGCCTCAGCTTCCCAAGTAGCTGGGATTACAGGCATGTACCACCATGCCTGGCTAATTTTGTATTTTTAGTAGAGACAGGGTTTCTCCATGTTGGTCAGACTGATCTCGAACTCCTGACCTGAGGTGATCCTCCCGCCTCGGCCTCCCAGAATGCTGGGATTACAGGCATGAGCCACCATGCCTGGCCACCTCTGAGGAGTTTTGTGGGGTTTGACATGAGAGAATGTGGATAAAGCCCCAATGCCCTGGCCATAAGATGAGGTCTCCTTTCTTTCTTCTCTAGGATCTGGAAGCTTCTGAGGAAAGATGGAATTTAGGAGATACCCAGAGTGCAAAATGTAGGACAGGGAATGGGATTCTGGATGCAATTCTCTAACAGCCATCTCGGGTCTATTTGTACCTGTGAAAAGGAAAAGAGTCATATATGAGGGATATTAAGGGAGACATACCCCACCTCATTATCCTTCATAGAAACTTCTGGTCAGCTGCATTTCCTAGGAAAGCCAAAAGGAGTAAAGGTCAAATAATTAACAGTCCTAGTGATCTCTGGGGGACAATTAAGCCACGACAGTTTGCTTCCCTCAAGGATAAAGCTGGCAGAACTTGCCATTCCTTTTACATTTCGAAACTCAAAATGTTATTATCACTCATTTGAGAGATGTAATCATGTTTGAAATAATGACTGACTGATATGTAACCTGGAAGGAAAGAAAATTTCACTAACTCACCAAACTCACTGTTTTGTTTTGTTGTTGTTTTTTTTTTTTGATACAGAGTCTCACTCTGTCACCCAGGCTGGACTGCAGTGGTACAGTCTTGGCTCACTGCAGCTTTCACCTCCTGGGTTCAAGTGATTCTCTGGTCTCAGTCTCCCCCGTAGCTGGTACTATGGTGCATGCCACCATGCCCAGCTAATCAAACTGGCTCTTTTAAGGACACTGTTTTTCAAACGTTGAGCTTTATATGTGTATTTCTTAAGCTGCCCCAAAGTATTTTGCTTTGAAAATCAAAGAATGGCTGTGTTTTTCCTATAGTAGAAAATAGCAACATTCATGGATGAGATTTTTCCCAGTGTTAAGTTTTTGTCCCATAAAGAGTTCTTGAATCCTTGACAGTGATTGCCACTCATTTGCCCATCTTTTTATTATTTAAAAAAAAAATATTTAGGCAAAGTCTTGCTCTGTCACCCAGGCTGGAGTGCAATGGTGCAATCTCAGCTCACGGCAACCTCCGCCTCCTGGGTTCAAGCGATTCTCCTGCCTCAGCCTCCCGAGTAGCTGGGACTACAGGCATGTGCCACCATGCCCAGCTAATGTTTTGTAATTTTAGTAGAGACAGAGTTTCACCCATGTTGACCAGGATGGTCTTGATCTCTTGACCTAGTGATCCACCCGCCTCAGCCTCCCAAAGTGCTGGGATTATAGGCGTGAGCCACCATGCCTGGCCTGAGGTGATAATTTTTTTAATGAGGTAAAAAGAAATTTTAACCCCCCTTATCCACTTAACTAGCCATGTGACCTTGAGTAAATAATTTCACAATCAGCTGCTAAATATCATCTGATTTTCTGAAAAACGGAGATTGTAATAAACAGGGTTGTGTGAAAATTAAGTGAGTGAATGAACATGTAACCCATCTGACCTCTGTCATTTGTGTGGATCCAGATACTTGGTGTATTATTAATTTTTCCACGTACTTATTCAATTCTCACCTTTCTCCCTTTTTAGTAATGAATCCTAAGTCCTCCCCTTGAGGCTTCTCTTTAGATTATTTAGAATAATCTAAAACCTCCTCAATCAATCCCATCCACACTGCAGCTGTGTCCCATGGCCACATGTTCCCACGTGGCCCAGTGCCAGGCTGAGGCCTTCCTAGTGACTGCAGAGGCCGCACTGGTGCCCACCTACCATGGGTCTTGAATCGACACTCTTGAGCTCAGCCATCATTCTAAAACACAACCCCTATGCAAGGGTGGCTCCAGTTCTACATGGCAGATCTTTAGGGACAATGTGCCTGGAGTCCCCAGTGCCACCCTCAAAGCACAGAGTCAAACAGATATTTGTACACCCATGTTCATGGCAGTGTTATTTATAAAGCCAAAAGAATGGAAACAACCCAAGTGTTCATCAGTAGATGAATAGATAAACAGAATGTGGTATATCCATAGAATGGAATTTTCTATATCATAAAGAGAAATGAAATTTTGATATATGCTACAATGTGAATAGACCTTAAAAATATTATGGTGACTGAAATTAACCAGACACAGAGGGACACAGAGTGTGTGATTCCACTTATTTGAGGTTCCTGGAATAGACACATTCACTGGGACAGAAAGTGGGATCGATGTCCCCAGAGGTTGCAGGGAGGGACATGGGGAGTTATCACTCAATAATAATACAGTTTCCATTGTCACTGATGAAAAGGTTTTGGGGGTGGATAGTGGTGATGGTTGCACAATATTGTGAATGTATTTAATGCCACTGAATTGTATATTTATAAGCAGTTAAAATGATAAATATCATGTTGTATATACTTTACCACCAACACAAAACAAAACAACACTGTGGCAAATGACAGAAAATTCAGCCCAAATTTGCTTTGGCAAAAAAGTCAGAGTATTGGATCCTGTAAGCTGAACATCTGGTGGACATCTGTTTGGGAACCCCCAATCCCCATCCCTGGCCTTCCCACCCTGCCCATCTTCCTTCCGCTCCTCACAGCCTGTTTATTTTTGTAATGAGCAGAGCTTCATGTGCTTTTAGTAACCGCAGTGATGAAGACGACCTCCCTCCAGACCTGGCCGAGGCAGTGGGAGTGGCCACAGCTACAACCACAAACACCACAACCGCCGCCACACAAGTCTCTGTGCCGCTGCCCTCCCCCAAGGTCCAGAAAGTCAGCTCGCCTCACACCTCGGAAGGCAAAGGCCAGCTGTCCCCTGGGGCCAAGGTATTGGGGGTGGAAAGCCCTGGGGAGCAGCCACACTTGCTGGGAATTCAGTATCAGTTTACTGAGTGGCATCTGAGGCATGCATTTAAATTTTGCATCATCAATTGTGTGTACTTGTAAAACAACAACAATAACCAGAGCATGTTTTTTATATAGCTTGTCCCCCAAATACAAGCCAACCATTTGCGAGAGACTGAGTGAAATATAAAATCAGTTCATTGTACTTTAATTGCATCATAAGAGATTTTTGAGGGCAATTTTGATTTAGAATCTCATCTCTATCATAAGCTATTAGTCCACTGTAAAGATAGACAGAAATCATTCCTTCCAACCATAGTGAACAGTTTGGAGGAGCAAAATCATAGAAGTTTCCCCATTCCTTTCCTTATATCAGATAGCTTGTGTTAGTTTGAAAATAGGAATTTTTTTTTTTTTTTTTTGAAAGAGAGTCTTGCTCTGTAGCCAGGCTGGAGTGCAGTATGGCATCAGGTTCAGTGGAGGTTAAAGTGCTCATGCAAACTGGATGCCTGAGGCTTTTGCAGCTTCAGGGATCACAGTTCCTGGTAAGAGCTAAAGGATAATGGTCCAGGCCCACCTCCTGCATAACCAAAGCCAGTCTTCCACCTGGTCCCTTCCCTGGGTGTCTCTGAAAATATCACTGCTTAGTGTTCCGCACAGACACCTGGCAGGAGCCCTCAGCCAGCGACTGGCCAAGACCGAGGTTCTCTGCATCTCTATAGCTCACCTCCTGGCGTCTCTGGCTGGATTGGCCTCCACTGTGTGGAGACCCCTGTACAGCTTTGTCTCAAGTGTGGACACAGGCTTCTACCACATAACCCACACTGTGGTTAAAACCAAGCTGAAAGAAACATTGACAAAACAGATGGGAGTTGGGGTGGCGTGGACGGGACACAAGTGGCATCCTACCAAAGGCTACAGGGCTCCCTCTCCTGGCCATCTCTCTCCTTGGGGCCTGGCTTGCCCTACATTGATGGGTCTTATTTTTTCTACTTTTAAAGATCTCGAGGCTATACATGCAGCAAAGACCCCAGAGCAGAAGGACAAACCATTTTCCAAAAACAAACAACATAACATTCCACGTGCCATCACCTGCCATGAAGACCATTGCTCTTAGTGCGCAGATTGGTTTAGCTCCTGGAGGACCCTGGATTTGATCCCTTAATCTAGGACAAAAACTTTGCGCTCTCCTTATACATTTGGAGGCCTCTTTAAAGTATTTTTTCTCCAAAAGACCAAAGAGCTCTAAGAGTACTTAAGAAAAGCTGCCTGCAGCTCTGAAAGGGACAGTCCCTCACCCCCTGCCTACTTCTACTTACAAAGTTTGCAGAAAAACACTGGGGTTCAGTCTCAACATTTTGTGCACTACTTGGCTGGGGAAATACAAGGGGATTGTCGCTCTAATGAGATCAGTGTAGAGGAGAGGCTGGGAACCTCTGTCTTTTCCGGTGACCTTCATCCTCAATGCAGTGCAGTCTCTAACCAGGAGTATTTTTGTCTGTCTTCCTAGAGCCCCTCTGACCGAGGAGGTGCCTTTACCTTGGAGCCGGGTGATCTTCTGATGGATTTCACAGAAGCCACTCCTCTGGTAAACTTCCTATTTTGCTAAAACCAGAAAAGCCACAGACCATAGAAACATCTTGGCAGTGGGACGAATGGACAGAGGTGGGCATTGCTGTGGAGGAGTCTCTTCTTCTTGTCCCGGAGGCTCGGGGATCAGCTTTCATCCAGGGGTCAGGCACTGTGGGTCCCTCCACCTCTAGGGCCCTTGAGGGAGGAAGGGGTGCTCCCTTTGCTCTGCGGGCAGTTGTGGGGGGCCTACCGTGCCTTTCTACTGCACTTCAAGTGTTATAGGGCTCGTCAGTGCTTTGATCTCAGCTTCTTGGCTTCCTGGATCACACCCTGCATGCCCACCCATGGGGAATCTCTTGCTGTTGCTTCCAACAATCTGTCTGGTCTGAAGCACTGGCTCAAGGCCACATCCCAGCTTTCCAGGTCCCTTGTACTGCCCACCATCTTCCATCCTCTGCATACAGGTCTCTCCTTAGGTGAGAAACCCTTTTGAGGGGACAGAACACCAAATCACAAGTCACAGAGGCCAAACCTGGCTCCACTGTCTGTTCCCCTTTTTAAGATTCTTGCCATTGGACAGTCACTGCCCCAACTTTTAGAAAATAAGGATGTCACTGTTTTCCCTGTCTGCCTCATAGGAGTGCTATAAGGATCACAAGAGAGAGAGAGTCCTCCGAGAATAGAAAGCAGCACAGAAATGTGCAAGGTATTATTCCCATTATGAGATGACCCAGGCACATTTGGATATGCCTTTCTCTGGGTTCAGCCTAATACCTGAGTATACTTGAGCTTGAATCACAATCCACAAACTGGGCTGGGAGTCAGATTTCCAACCAAGTCAAAAAATGTCTCCTGAGAGTCAACTGTGTGCCCAGCTGAGTGCTAGGCTTTCAGGGCAGAGAGGGTAGCTAAGGCTGCAGGGGAATTGAGGTTGACCAGCGGCTGCCAGTGATGTGAGAGCCACATAGAAGATGTTCAGGGAGGAGCCAGAAGTGGGAGGCACTCAGGGACAGCTGACCCGAGGAGGAGTGGGGTGGATGGGGAGGATCCTGGAAGGTTTCAAGAGAGGACAAATGGGGCAAAGCGCTGCCAGGCTTTAGGAATGATCACCGTTCCCAGTCAGCTGGCATATGGAAATCATGTGTACACTTGTCTTCCTCATCTGGAGAGTTGGGACAGTCTAAGAGCTTCCAGGCAGCAGTCTTGGATAAACAGCTGACAGCTGACAGTGGGTGACCCCTGCTCTGGGAACCTTCAGAGTTACCCCTTGCTGTGTTCCAGTAAACGTAGCAGAGTTAGAGTTATTCATGGCCTTCTTGTTAGATGATTTGCCAAGATTGTTCACAGATGGAAGGGCCCTTCTCCCCTGCCTTTCAAGTAGGGGAACCCAGAAACAGAGGGCCTTCACACATCACCTCATCACTTCTTTGATGGATGGGAACTTGAGTCCCAGTCGGGGGCTCATCATGTGGGGCCAAGCTAGAGCTGGGATCCAGGTGTCCTTGCTCCTCTCTGGTGCGCTGTGCATCCTGTTGGGCTCCATCTGATCTCTTCTTTAGGGACTTGCCACTTAGGAAAAAAGCAATTCCTGGAAGAAGGGCTTCATTTCAAGTACACCTCAGATGGGGAAAAATGAACAAGGGGCGTGGAAGAAGGGACAGCAGGTTAGGTGGCCTGGGCCTGGTGCTACATCAGTGTCCCTGCTGAGCATCCCAGCTGAGGCCTGGCATCCCAGGAAGGCCTTCTTGTGGGACATGGAAGCCCAGGCAGCACTTTGAGCATAGCCTGGCTGAAGGCAGCATTCCCCAAAGGGATCCGAGAATGCCTACAGTGTAACCCGAGGTCCTATGAAGGTAAAAAGGAGGAGAAGACTAAGTTCCAAGAGTCACGTTGAGGAAAACGTGTCTGGCAAGAATAGGAGCCAGTGGAGGAAGATAACTCTTGGAGTTAGACTTGTGGGCAACTTCCAGGCCACTGAAACATGCTGCAATGACTGCTGTAGAGTTCATGTGAACTGCTGCTGCTGTGGGACTCAGTGTCTAACCCTGGCTGGGGACCCTGGGGTGCAGGGGTTTTACAGTATAAATACGAGTCTGCCAGGTGGAGAAAGTGGACCAAGGCAGTCTATGTAGAAATCACAGCATGGACAGAGTAAAGGACCTGGCAGGTCTGAGAATCAGGGTCAGTTTCCAAAAACATATATGGTGGCTTTGACAAGCGTGATGAGATTCCCTTAGAGATCATCATGTTGCAGGTCCAGCTTGTAGATTTAATTACTTATTAATTTAAATGGTCCTTTCTTTGTTTGAACCAAACAGGCTGAGATTAGAAAGGAAGCAGCGCCTGGCAGGGAATCAGAGATGCCTCGATCTGAGGGCTGAGTGCCTGCGAAGTGACTGTCCAGTCTCTGCTTGCACCCCTTCAGTAACAGGAAGCTCATTCCCTCTCCCTGAGACATGCTGCTCATATCTCAGGGTACCTCTGACTTAGCTATGAAACGGGTACAGGCCTATTTCACTGTGCAGGCATGGGACAACTGAGACACAGCCACCATTTCACAGCTGAAGTTTGCAGTGACTGTGTGTCCTCAGAATAAAGCATCCTTTGAGGCATCAGTGCATGTATGCAGGCCTCAGGGAGAAGGTGTCCTGGGCATCTGGCTTTTTGGCAAGAGCTCCCTCCATTTTGGGCTTTCCTTAGTACCATGGGCCTTGTCCTTACTTTGTTCCAGAATCCTGTTTCCATGAGTGCCAAAGGGTCCCAGAGGGGAAGAGGACACTCCAGCAGTCTGCTTCTCCCTTTGGTTCTCTTCCCTCTGTCTCCTTCCCCCAGCATCAGAAATGCAAGCAGCAGCCTTCCCACCTATTGGTAGGGTGATGGGAAGGTCTCTATCTTAGGGGACCAGGCCTACCTCCACAAGTCCGTGTCTTGGACACCATGGTTGAGGGCTACACAGGGGCTTCCTTATCCATGGGAGGAAGGAGCCAGAAGTAGAGGGAGGCAAGAGCAACCCCCATGCCTGACTTATGACCAGGGCTTCCTCAACTATCTGGCCTATCAGCTGAAACAATGCCTTGGGACCTTCTTCTCCATTCCTTCACACACAGATGGGAAAACCAAGCTCATACAGGGGCAAACGCTTGTCCCAGATCACACAGCAAGTGTGTGTTAAAGCCAGTTCTAGAACCTAGACGCTGTGCTGCCATTCCAGTGTCAGATGGCCCAAGCCAGGCTATGTCTCTCTCTTTCTCTGTTAGCAAGTTCCCTCTCTCAAAGTGGGTCAGATGCCCTGGCCTTCGCCTGGGCTGTAGGATAGCCCTGGGACCGTCTCCAAGCTGTCAGCCCAGGTTTGGTCCCCAGTGTTGCTGAATGGAGCATGAGGAAGGGAGGTGCGCAGGTGCCTTGGTCTAAGAGACTCAGCCTGGATGAGCTGTGTTATTTTGGCAGCAGTCCTGCTCACCTCTGGCTGCTCTGTCTGAGCCTTTCCATCAATGTTTCCTGCTGAAAAGGAAGCAGCACTTTACAGGTATACATGTCACAACTTCACGAGTGCTACTCATCACACAGGCAGTGAATTACCCCTCCTGGGTGAATACTTTTTCCGTGCAGTCAATTCCCAAGCTGACAGCCTGTCTCTAGGCCCCTGCCTCCTATTGACTGAGACTCCTGAGGTCCCACCACCATCCTGGTCCCTAGGCACAGTGCTGGACCAACAGGGAACTGGAGATCTTGCCTTCATTCAGCAACATGCCACCAAGACACTGTTAGAACTAGTGTAACGCTAGCCAGGCATGATAGTGTGCACCTATAGTCCCAGCTACTCAGGAGGCTCAGTTAGGAGAATCACTTGAACCTGGAAGGTGGGGGTTGCAGTGAGCTAAGGTAGCACCACTGCACTTCAGCCTAGGCAGCAAGGCAAGAGTCCACCTCAAAAACAAAGCCAGGCTCACTCAGTGACTCACACCTGTAATCCCGGCACTTTGGGAGGCCTAGGTGGGTGGATAACGTGAGGTCAGGAGTTCAAGATCAGCCTGACCAACATGGTGAAACCCCATCTCTACTAATAATACAAAATTAGCGGTGCACAGTGGTGGGTGCCTGTAATCCCTCAGGAGACTGAGGCTGAGGCAGGAGAATTGCTTGAACCCAGGAGGCGGAGGTTGCAGTGAGCCGAGATCGCACCACTGCACTCCACCCTGGGTGACAAGAGTGAAACTCTGTGTCCAAAAAATTAAAAAAAAAAAGCGTCACCCTTAGCACTCTTATCACTCTTGATTCTTGTGGCCAGTCTCTGTGTGGAGTGGTTTTCAAAGAAGCACAGTCCAGCAAACCAAGAGTAACCAAAAGGTTCAATCTGGAACAGGCATGTCTCAAAAAAATCATTAAAGAATATGAAATTAACACCTCCTGTAACACATCTTGAATCTCTTTTTGCCTCTTCCTTTATTCTCTTACATTACTGCTTGACTCCAGGAACTTTCATTCTCAAACTCTACACACACACACACACACACACAACACGCGCGTGCACACACACACACACACACAGACACACTTTCTAACTTTGCTTTTGTAGCTTTCTCCCGCTCCTTTTCCCAAACCTTTTCTGCTCTAATCCCCAGCTCTTTTATTAGGTAGCTAGATTTAGCAGTCGTAAGCCTGAGAACCTTTGCAGCTTCACGTCTTTCCATTTCCGATTCTGCCTCGGAGTTCGTAATCAGATCTGAGTTTCTGCCTGGGTTGCAAGAGGTGGAGCATGTGGGAGAGAAGGGAAGGAGGCAAGGGGGCCAAGACAGCACCTGTTCTCTATTTGGTATTTCTTTAGGGTGTGAACGTGAGCAGATGCATGGGGGGCACTGGCATTGATTGAGTGAGGGGAGTTGGGAGAGGTTGCACTGATGCGTTAGTGATGTTGACCCCAGAATGCGGATTCTTACACGCCCTACTTTGAGTCTGCCATGCTGACTTCCCTCCCCAGGTAACACAGACCATGGACACCTATGCGTTCTGTGTTCTTGGCTTTTTCTCCTTGAGGCCTGTCCCTCTCTGATCCCCAGGCTTCATGAACCACTCACCCATCTGCAAATCAGAGCCAATGAGCACCTAGATCTCTTCTGGACCATGACATTAGTCAAGAGTTCATGTGTCAGGGAGTTCATGTGTCAGGGAGGACAGGGTTCTGGCCAGAGGAAGGCTGTGTAGGGCATGGGAATAGGCCCTGGGGTGGATGTGAGGAGTCAGTTTCTATCTGGTGCAATAATTTACTTTTATTTTGAACTGAATTCTACCAGCAGGGCTAAAGCTGAATCTCATCAAATCAAATTATGGTGCCCCGTCCGTGGTTTTATCTGTGTTCCCCAGGGCACAGGGAGGTGGAAAGAAATCTATTTAGTCCACGATGTCATCTGTTCGCTGATACATTTAGGTCACTCCTTGCTTCTTTCATGGCTGTTTGGGGCAGGTGGAGATCACTGCCCTGCCAGGATGTGTGACTGTCTACCTGTTGGACAACATTCTGTTCTGGGGCCATCCTGTCCTGGGGCCTGCCATCTCCTCAGCTCTACCTTAGGGGGGTGGTGGGGGGTTGGTTCTTGCTGCTTTTCAATCCCTCCTTCCCAGCCTCAGTGCATGGAGAAAGTTGCACAGGGCTCCTTGGCTCAGCACTCACCAATGTCTACGCTCCTCTTCCCTCTGAATTTTCTCTCCAATGCCCAAACTAGCCATCTCTCGGAAGCCTTATACATTTCATCATCGTTTATCTATACTGAGAATCTGTCTGTCTCCCCAAGAGTCAGATTTTAAAGTCAAAAGCCAAGCAGGTATAGAAGAATGTAGCTGCTTACCTGTAGAAAAGACCCAAGGAAGAAAGGAAATACTAGGTGAAAAAAATTAAGTGGTATTTCAAAATAGCCTTTGATTCCATGTGTTAGCTTACTTCCTTCTCACCCACAGTCCAGAGTGTGGGAACCCCAGGATGTTCTTTTGTTTCAATCCAATCAGATGCATATTTAAGAAAGGTCAGAAATGCTTGTGCAGTGGATCAACACTTCTTTACCATAAAAGTCAAATGCTGGGCAAAGCTGTAAGGCGTTCATTATGTTCTTCAGTTGGGACCCTGGTGGCCAGAACATATTTTGGCTTCTAGGCGGTGTGGCCATGTTTCTCAGTCATTTGTGCCAGCTTTTATTTTCTTCAAAAAATACACATTGCATGCCTGCTGTCATCAGAGGAGAAAAGACCCAGTAGCCTGGGGTCCCTGATGTAATTGGTTCTGGTTGGAGCATGGATGCCCGGGGGGCAGTGGCGGGAACTGATCCTGAGGGCAGGGGGGAGACAGCTTTCTGCAGGATATGCCTTGGGGTCCATAGAGAGCAGCAGGAGGGTTTTAAGTAGTCTGGTAAAAGTTAACTGCAGGTGACTCAGATGGATTCACACGACTTTAAAAAATGGATTTAGAAACAGTCAACAAAATGAATCTTTGCAAACGCAATTTCTACACCTTCCAAATTTGAATAGTAAAACAGGCCATCGTGAAGACCATTGTGAGATAATAGTTGTAAAAAGCCCTCTGGAAATTGTCCAGAACTGCACAATTGTGAAGAGGTCAGAGTTAGATCACTTTGGAGAAGGAAAAGAGGCCAGCAATTTTCTTGATCATTTTTCCATGAAACTTACCCAGCGGCTGTATTTTATTCTTCACAGCAGGATGCTATCAACTATTTAAGGAAACTCTCTTGAGCTAAAAGATGTGTATATTTGTTCTCCAGAGCAAATGGTCCCTCCCTGAAACTCGAAATAACCCTGTCCGTGGTTCCCTCTCCTAACATCAAGCGTCCTCTGTCCACCAACCTCATTCTCAGCAGTACAAGCGTTGGACCTCTGCTGGGCGCATGGTGCTATTCAAGGATAAGGTGGAGAACGCTGTGTATCCCAAAGGATGTGGCACTTTTCTCACAATGTTTGGTATTTTCCAGCTAAGTAGCAGGGTGTCCCAGCGCCAATACGAGATGCCATGGCTGGGCCCATGCATCTTGTCATCGGGTCAGGATCAGTTTGTTTTCTGAACACAGATAACAAAGAGCCAAGACATATGAAATCCTAAAGTACCTGATACAGCTGGGCACAACGGATCATGCCTGTAATCCGAATACTTTGGGAGGTCGAGGAGGTGAGGGATCTCTTGAGGCCAGGAGTTCAAGACCAGCCTGGGCAACATAGTGAGCCCTCACCTCTACAGAAAAGAAAAATTAAAATATTATCCAGGCATGGTGGCACATGTCTGCAGTCCTAGATACTCAGGAGGCTGAGGCAGGAGGATCGCTTGAGCCCAGGAGTTTGAGGCTACCATGAGCTATGATCATACCACTGCACTCCAGACTGGGTGACAGAGCAAGACCCCGTCTCTTAAAAAAAAAACAGAAATGGGCGTGGTGGCTTATACCTATAATCCCAACACTTTTGGAGTCCAAGGTGGGCAGATCACTTGAGGTCAGGAGTTTGAGACCAGCCTGGCCAACATGGTGAAACCCCATCTCCATTAAAAATACAAAAATTAGCCGGGCGTGATGGTGGGCCTGTAGTCCCAGCTACTTGCGGGGGCTGAGACAGAGGAATCATTTGAACCCAAGAGGCAAAGGTTGCAGTAAGCTGAGATTGTGTCACTGCACTCCAACCTGGGCAACAGAGCAAGACATCATCTCAGAAAAAAAAAAAAGCTATATGTTCCTTCCCATGAAATATTTCTTTCCCAGTGACCTCCTTAGACATCCACTCACTTACATACCACGGTGTGTGCCCTTGTTCAACAGATTGCAGGAGGGCACCAAGCATGGAAGGCAAATGCTTCAAGTGTGTGCCCCCGCCTCATATTCCTCCATGGCTCACATCACTAATTCATCCTGGCTCTCCTTCTGGCTTGGCCTGGGCAACGCTTCGGAACCCTCAACTGTGTGCCGAGAAGCCACTACCTGTCCTGTGCAGTTGGCATAGGAGACAGCCTCTACCTACCAGCCTGGGAATGGGGTCTTGGTGTGTCATCTGCTCAGATGATGGAGAAGACATATGAAAGACAGACAGGAGAAAAGAAGACTGAGAGAGGAGGGAGGAGGGTGGGACCAGAAAGCCAGTTGGCCAGAGGCTGGAAGTAGGCTGTGGGTGAGGCTGGCTTAAGAACAGTCTGGAGTTGCCAGATCTGTCTTGCACTGTGCTATCTTTCTCTCCTTTCCCCTCCCCTATCTCCTCTTCCTCCTCCCCGTCTCTTGCCACCTCCTCCTCCCCTTCTCTCCTCTCCTCGTGAGCAGGCAGAGCCCGCCAGCAACCCCCACTGTGCCCACTCTCGCTGTTCTCCTCCACTCTCTCTCCCCATGAAGGAAGAGACCACTGGAGTTTGCATGTACCCTCCAATCAAAACAAGGCTGGTAGGTACCCTGGCAGGGAGAGGGGCCTGGCCAGGAGAGGTGAGGTGGGCAGGAGCCACCAGGTGAGGTGGAAGCCTGGGTGGGCATGCAGAAGCCCCAGATCTTGGGAAGAGCCCACCAACAGGTGCTCTCACTCCAGGTGGATGGAGAATTTGGAGTCCAGCTGGCCCTGGTCAGCCTGGAATATGCAGCTGTGGGTGCCCCCTTCGCCTCTAGGTCTCAAGAATCAAGAAGAGTTTGTTTTCCTAGAATATCAATGAGCATAGATGCTTTCACCAGAGGGAAATACATGCTTTGGTACTCACCAGATGGACTCTTCAGTTGCATTTCTATTGAAAATAAAACTTTTTGAAACGTGTCTTCTTCTGCTGTTTATCAAGCTAATGATATAATAGGAGTGCTACCTAACAATGTGAATGAAATCACCTGTCATCCCAATTTAGCATTTTTTGTCATTTTTTACATATTTTCTTCCATTTATTCATATCAATCATAATTTTACCTAGTTAAATCATAATAACCATATCCTCTCTTGTTTTCTCTTTTCACTTAATGCTACCATGTTGTTTCTATCTTGTTCTTGTTACCACATTATATGACTGTATTCCATCAAGCGAATGGTCTGCCATTTCCCGAACACATTCTTCACTGTGGGATGTGTGCCTTGTTTCCAGTTTGTCACTGTTCGGGAGAACACATGTAGTTTTTTGCATCAGGAATTTTATTTTCTTAGGCTAGACCCTGCTGGATGAAATATTGTGAGTTTTGCTTTTGCCCCCTTTCTAAAATGGTTGTGCTAACAGATAGTGCCATCAGAAGAGAGTGACTATGCGTTTCACCACAGCCTTGGCAACACAGGGTACCATGGTTGAAATATATTTTTCTTATTTACAGCAGGTATAAAATAATTCTTTGAGGTGGCTAACTTTCACCTACTTAATAGCACCATTTTCCAGCCAGGCACGGTGGCTCACACCTGTAATCCCAGCACTTTGGGAGGCTGAGGCAGGCGGATCACCGGAGGTCAGGAGTTTGAGTCCAGTGTGGCCAACATGTGAAAACCCAACTCTACTAAAAATACAAAAATTAGCTGGGCATTTTTTGTAGTGTGCACCTGTGATCCTAGCTACTCAGAAGGCTGAGGCAAGAGAATCACTCAAACCTGGGAGGCGGAGGTTGCAGTGAGCTGAGATTGTGCCACTGCACTCCAGCCTGGGTGACAGTGAGACTCCATCTCAAAGTAAATACATAAATAAATAAACAAACCACTTTCTCGCTCTGCTTCGTGATGGTCTGTCTGAGAGTCTTATCTATTACCTTCCACCAGGATATTGGTCTCAGAGCACCTTGCTGACCCAGTAGGCAATGGGAGGAGACTGTACCTCAAGACTTCTCCCAAGAGTCTTTCTTTCACCTGAGCTAAAAGGCAGTTTGAGGCCTATTCTGTCGATTTTAAGATGTGTAAAGGGACCAGAGAGATTTGTGGGAAGGGGAGCAGACTTGGGCTGGATATCTCAGTATACATGGCAAGGATATTGTCCTCCCCAGAAGAGGGAGACCTGCTTCACCCATTCGGAAAAGCTTGGCCAATTTGGGCTCAGCTAATGTGTTCTTACTAATCCCTGCCTCACCCTCCCACTGGAGCCACTCAAGAGCATCGAGTAGCTATCCCAGAGTCCACAGGCAAGAACTCCAGCTGGCCCTGGACAGTGGTGGCCTTGGTGTCTTGCCTCAGCCCTCTGCTGGCGGATGGTATGGTATGCATTCACTAGCAGGTGTGCAGACAGTTTCCATGCCCCAGTAATCATACACAAAGCTAGTGCCAGAGTCATCAGGCCCCCGGGCCTCATGGCATACCCTAGGCTGGCTTGAAAAAATAAGCCCTCCCATTTCCCAAGGCCTCCAGAAGGCCAAAGACAAAATGACCAAAGAGAAAGACATGGAAGTTGAGTCCTGACCTCATTCAGGCTAGCTCCATCCTGCAGGTACTCCCAGCCCTGGGCATCTTTGTGCATCAAGCCTTCTGTTCCCAAGGGCCGTAGGGCAGGATTCTCCCATGCTTCCGTGGTTTTCCCTGAGGGATCCCTCTATTGGCTAAAGCACACAGGGAGTTGAGTAACTGAAGTAATTAGACAGGGAATACTTTCTGGCTTAATCAGCCCAGCCTCCTTGTACCCTGCCTGCTGCTAAGATACAATGTGACCTCTCAGCAGCCTCTAGGCCATTCCTACAGCTATGGAGAAGTCATCAGAAGCCACCACAGGCAGTTCTGACTCCCTCATTATCCACCTTGATTGTGGCTTATGAGTCAGGCCTGAAAGGCCCAAGCAGATCCCGCTGAAGGCAGCCCCAGGGAGAGGCAAGTGTGGAGGTGCTCGAGGAACACGAGACCCGAGGCTGTCATCCCCACGGGGCCCCGCCCTGCAGTCCAACGTCAGGCACAGATACAACCACCAGTCCACAATCCCGAGGGAACCTTTTATGTGTGTCTTTATACGAGTGATGAAGGCTCTGCGGAGGCACCCCTGAACCCTTCAGTTCCATTTTAAAGGTGCTCTGCTAAAGATTGCAAAACTTTGTTTTCTAATCTGAAGGTAACCCCCTTTTCTTTCTCTCTTTTGAAGATAAAAACATTCCCGGCTGATACAATGAACCCGTTTCCTGATACTTTCACCACAGGGCCACAGTTTACTGTAAGTAGATCCAGAAAACAGATGTGCATTTTCAAACCTTGTTCGCGTTTAGTGTGCTTTTCTGTGGGATGCCAGATAGCAAGCTCAATCGCTTCTTTTGATCACCATTGAACTCTGTGAGGTTGGGAAGAAACTTGGATTTACACTCTGCCTCTTTATTTTATTGATGTGAGATTGACTTAAAATTAACCATTTTCAAGTGACAATTCAGTGACGGTACATTCACAGCATTGTGCAATGACCACTTCTATTTAGGTCCAATACATTTTTATTGCATCCTTCAAAAACCCCACACCCATTAAGCAGTTCCTCCTCATCTTCCCCTTATTCCCACCCGCTGGCAACCACCAGTCTGCGTTCCATGTTTATGGATTTACCTAGTCTGGATATTTCATCTAAATGGAATCATATCATATGTTTCCTTTTGTGACTGGTCTCTTTCATTTAGCATAATGCATTTGAGGTTCATCCACACATGTTTTTCTTTCTTTCTTTCTTTAGATGGATTTTCACTCTGTCACCTAGGCTTTAGTGCAGTGGCACGATCTCAGCTCACTGCAACCTCTGCCTCCTGGGTTCAAGCATTTCTCCTGCCTCGGCCTCCTGAGTAGCTGGGATTACAGGCGCCTGCCATCTTGCCTGGCTATCTTTTATGTTTTTAGTAGAGACGGGGTTTCATCATGTTGGCCAGGCTGGTTTTAAACTCCTGACCTCAGGTGATCCATCCACCTCAACCTCCCAAAGTGTTGGGATTACAGGCATGAGCCACCATATCCAGCCTCATTTCTTTTTATGATGGGATATTATTTCATTGTATCTATATACTGCAATTTGCTTATCTGTTCATTTGTTGGGGGTATTTGGGTGGTTTCCACTGTTTGGCTATTGTGAATAGTGCTGCTATGCATATGTGTGTAAATGTATCTGTTTGAACACCTGTTTTCAATTCTTTTGGGGGTTCGATCATTGGATCCAATGGTTCTTAGGTCACTTTACCACCCGGACCACCAGTAACTTCTTTTTTGCTTTTAGAGATGGGGGTCTCACTATGTTGCCCTAGACTGGTCTTGAACTCCTAGGCTCAAGTGATCCTCCCACCTTGGCCTCCCAAAGTGCTGGGATTATGGGCATGAGCCACCATGCCTGCGCCGTCTTCTTACTTAAGGTGAAAGTAGTAGTAAGAATATCCTCCTCATACCCTGATGAGGCAAGGATCAAAAGGGGCCGAGAATTTGAAAGTGCTTTAGTAACCACAAAACATCCCACACATGTCAAATACGAGAGTTGTTTCTCAGGCTGGAGAGACAGGGTGGTGTGATGAACACAAGCAGGTAGTCCTGACAACAGACTTCTTGTCACCACCTCTCTGGGTGTCACTGGGCAGCTTGTTTGTTCTGCCAAGGCTAGGCACAGTGGCTCATGCCCGTAATTCCAGCACTTTAGGAAGCTGAGGTGGGAGGATCGCTTGAGACCAGGAGTTTGAGATCAGCCTGGGCAACATAGAGAGACCCTGTCTCTCCAAAATAATAAAAATAAATTAGCTGCTGATTTATTATTAAATTTATTATTAATTTAATAATAATCACAGTGGGATAAATTTAATAATAAATTTATAATAACAAATAAGTCCCAAATACCCAGGAGGCTGTGGCAGGAGGATCTCTGGAGCCCAGGAGGTAGAGGCTGCAGTGATCCATGATTGCACCACTGTATTTCAGCCTGGGCAACAGAGTGAGACCCTGTCTCCATTTTTAAAAAATATTCTGCCATGATCCCTGCAGCTCCCTCCAAAGGATTTCTGTACCGTCTGGAGGATCTGTGAGGTGGGCTGTGGGTGGCTAAGAGTAGCTCTAAGTGCAGTCTTATGAGACGGATGATAACCACTGCCTCACATGGCTTCAGCCACATAGGGAGGGACAGAGCAGTGGCTGATGCAAGTTTCAAAGGATGAGCAGAGGTGGGAAGGTGTCCAGCATGGCAGGCAGAGAGAAAAACAGGTTCCTAGAACAGTCCATTTCTAGGGTCATGAGCTGCTTCCAGCATCTGCCTTTTAAGAATGAGACATGGGGCTCTGCCAGGATGTTAGATGCTATTGCCTTGACGCTCATCCTGGCTCCCTGCGGTCTTGCTGGACACAGCTCCCCAGCTGGAAGCTCCGGCTCCACCTCCCTCAGTTGGCCGTAGTGGGGCACTCTGGCCTTCTGCCTAGCCTTGGCAGTGCTGTGAGACACTCAGGGAAGCCCTTCCCAAAAGCTGGGGGCCAAGATGGAGCAGGAAGCCAATGGAAGAAACCACGCTGGGACTTTTAAGAACTGAGCAAGAGTGGCTTGAAGACAGCTGGAGCAAGCAGAGGGAACAGCATGAGCCAGAGTCCTAGAGCGGGTGGGGTCATCACACATTCAAGGGACTGAAAAGCAGGCCAGTGGGACTGGGATGCAGGAAGCAAGGGCGGCTGGGTGTGAGAGGAGGAAGGGGTTGTAGGTGATGTCAAAACTGGAGGGGCACGACCGGTGGCCTTGTAGTCCACAGTAGGGATTCTGATCCCCATCCTAAGAGCAAAGGGAAATCTTTGAGGGACTTTGAGCAGGGAAGTGACAGGGCAGATGCACTTGGAAGGGATCCCTGTGATCACAGTGGGAAGACAGTGGCTTCCAGGCAGAGTGGATTCAGGACAGTAGCCTGGAAATGCAGGATAGTGGTTTAAGGAAGAGAGAGCAGAGAGCTTGACCTGGAGTGGTTTTGCTGGAGGAAGTGGAAAGAAGCGCATAGATAGGGAAGATATCTAGGAGGCTGGTAAGATATAGGATTAGATGAGGCAGAGAGAGGGTCAGAAATGGTTCCCAGAGAGCTGGGCACGGTGGCTCACCCCTGTAATCCCAGCACTTTGGGAGGCTGAGGCGGGTAGATCTCCTGAGGTCAGGAGATAGAGACCATCTTGGCTAACACAGTGAAACCCTGTCTCTACTCAAAATATGAAAAACTAAATGGACGTGGTGGTGCGTGCCTGTAGTCCCAGCTACTCAGGAGTCTGAGGCAGGGGAATTGCTTAAACTCAGAAGACAGAGGTTCCAGTGAGCCAAGATCACGCCACTGTACTCTAGCCTGGGCGACAGAGCAAGACTCCATCAAGAAGGAAGGAAGGAAGGAAGGAAGGAAAGGAAGGAAGGGAGGGGGAAGGGGGAGGGGAAGGGGAAGGGGGGGAAGGGGGGGAAGGGGAAGAAGGGGAAGAAGGGAGGGGAAAGAATTCCCAGATTTCTGATTTGCAGAATGTGGATGGACAGTGGTTCCATTCACTGGGTTAAGGAAACTTGGAAAAAGACTCAGTTGGGAGAGATGAATTTGCCTTTGGCCATGATGAATTAGAAATGCCTTTAAAACATCCAGATGGGCACAATGAATGGTGGTTGGATATCCAAGTCTGTAACTCAGGAGAGAGGACTAGACTGGAGACAATGATTAGGGAGGCAATGACAGCTGGATGGTAACAGAAGCCAAACTCATGGGCTTCAGCGTCGCAATTCTCCCATCCCCCTATGTCATGTTCTCATCTTCTTCCTGCCAAGATCATGATACTTGAACTTGCTGCAGGTTTGGCTTCTCCACAGGCCTCCAGACCTATCCTGGCCACAGTGACACGGCAAGTTTAGCAGCTCCTGAGGGCTCTGCACAAAGTTGGTCTGGCAGGTGATCTAGCATTGATGGAGCTAGATTTCAACAGCTAGGGCCCTTGCTTGATCCTGAAGCCAGTTTCTACTTTGTATTCAGGCCTATTAACTGGGTCTCTGCTGATACTCATCTGAGTACATTGGTCCATCTAGGGTGGGGACCCCTGCCTGGCTCTGGCCAGATTTTTGCTCCACATGCTTCTTTCTAATCCGGTTCTGTTCATCTGTTACGTGGTTTGTTCCAGTGAAAGCTTGTTTGCTCACTCATTCATTTCCTCATTCAACAAATGTAAAAAAGATAGATTCTTAGGGTTGAGATTTATTAATATAAGTAATTTTTTTACTGCTTTTTCAAGGTTATTCTTTGGTGAAGCTGCCTTTTAATTTTTCACTTGACGTATATGGCAGTGCAGAGCACAATGACTGCTAGTACAGTTTGGTGCCCCTACCTCAATTCATGCCAAGGCCCTGCCCCATTTACTCATTATTGCCTTTGTGCCATCAGTGCAAATTTGCCTTTTTTTCCAGAAAGAATAAATAATGGCATCAAAGGCCAGTCTCAGTGACTCGTCCCTGTAATCCCAGGACTTTAGGAGGTTGTGGCAGGTAGATTACCTGAGATGAAGAGATCGAGACCATCCTGGCCAACATGGTGAAACCACGTCTCTACTAAAATACAAAAAAATTAGCTGCATGTGGTGGCACGTGCCTGTAAAGCTACTCGTGAGGCTGAGGCAGGGGAATCACTTGAACCTGGGAAGCAGAGGTTGCAGTGAGCCGAGATGCCACCACTGTATTCCAGCCTGGTGACAGAGCAAGACTCCATCTCAAAAAAAAAAAAAAAAAAAAATGCAAAAATTAGCTAGGCGCAGTGGTGGGCACCCATAACCCCAGCCACTCAGGAAGCTAAGGCAGAAGAATGGCTTGAACCTGGGAGGTGGAGGTTGCAGTGAGCTGAGATTTGGAGATCGCGGCACTCCAGCCTGGGGCAACAGAGTGAAACCCCAACTCAAAAAAAAAGAAGAAGAAGATACTGCTCATTTGATGATCAGAACATCTTCATTAGAAAGTCATGTAATAAATTTCTCCATGTTCAGGGCCAAGAACTGGAATGAGAAACCCAGTTATAAAATATATAACTGGTATTCTCAAAAATATAAAACAAGCAAAAATGATTGCATTGAAAAAATACTATGATGGCCGAGCACAGCGGCTCACAGCTAAAATCCCTGCACTTTGGGAAGCCAAAGTGGGAGGATCACTTGAGGCCAGGATTTTGAGACCAGCCTGAGCAACATAGTGAGACTCTGTTTCTACGAAAGATTAAAAATTTTCCAGGCATGGCACACACGTGCAGTCACAGCTCCTTGAGAAGCTTAGGCAGAGGGATCACCCGAGCCCAGGAGGTTGATGCTGCAGTGAGCTCTCATTGTGCCACTGCGTTCCAGCCTGGGCAGCAGAGTGAGATCCTGTCTGAAGTAAAGGAAAAAAAGAAAGAAAGAAAAATACTATAAGGAAATATACTGAAGACAATAGTAAGGAATTATGGAATTTCTTCATTGATCTACTTTTTTTTTGAGACAGAGTCACACTCTGTCCCCCAGGCTGGAGTGCAGTGGCACGATCTCAGCTCACTGCAACCTTTGCCCCCAGATTCAAGTGATTCTCTTGCTTCAGACCCCGAGTAGCTGGGATTACAGGCACGTGCCACCATGCCTGGCTGATTTTTTGTATTTTTAGTAGAGACGGGATTTCAACATGTTGGCCAGGCTGGTCTTGAACTCCTTACCTCAGGTGATCCACTCACCTCAGCCTCCCAAAGTGCTGGGATTACAGGCGTGAGACACCACATCGGGCCCGATCTACTTTTATATATATTCTAAGCTTTCTATATAAAAGTAGTGAGTAGTTTGCTATGTAATGAAAATGACAAGAATATGTTATCCTCTCCAAATGAGACTGTATACTCAAGACCAGTAGTTCTGAAACTGTATTGTAGTTCCTCCAGAAGAATCATATGGGGTTCTTGTTAAAATACATATTGCTGGACTTCATTCCCAGACTTTCTTGGGTCTCAGTGGTCTTGATGGTGCCCAAGATGTGAGGAAATATGATTGCTACCTTAAAGGGCTGTCAAGAGTTAATATGTGGAAAGTACTTAGCATGGTGGCTGGCACAAAGTAAAATCACTTAAAATGACAATCAATTTTAGCTGGTAGTGAAAAAGAACAGGAATTGTAGAGTAAGGCCTAGGGAGCAACTGACAGTGTGAAAATGGAACCCAAATTGAGATTGATCTCCTCTTCCCTATTTCTTCTCCAGGCAGACTTCCGAGACAGTAAATTACAGTGCTGTCCTGGCCCATCTTCCCCACTGATCCCAGCAGCGACCCTGAGGCCTTTCACAGAGACCGTCTCCACAGTGCAGACCCTTTACACCACCCGGAAACCTGTTTCCCTGGCAGCCAGGTAAGTCAGGTCAGCAGGTACGACCGGTAATTCTGGCGACAGAAAAACTAGGGAGACTCTAGGTTCATTGTATTTTTGACACCTACAGACTTTTCCTACATTCTTTCATTTATTCTGTAAGTATTTATTGAAATATCTACAAAGGGGCCAGGCACAGTGGCTCACACCTGTAATCCCAGAACTTTGGGAGGCTGAGATGGGAGAATTGCTTGAGGCCAAGAATTTGAGACCAGCCTGGCCAACATGGTGACACCTCATCTCTACTAAAATTATTCAGGCATGGTGGTACACACTTGTAATCCCAACTACTCAGGAGGCTGAGGCAGGAGAATCACTCAAACCTGGGAGGCAGAGGTTGCAGCATGCCGAGACTGCACCACTGCACTCCAGCCTGGGCAACAGAGCGAGACTTTGTCTCAAGAAAAAAAAGAAGAAAGAAATATCTGTAAAGGTTAGGCTGTTAGAGGAGATAGACGATGTGTGTGTGTGTGTGTGTGTGTGTATGTGTGTGTGTATGTGTGTGTATGTGTGTGGATGTGTGTGTATGTGTGTGTGTGTGTATATGTGTGTGTGTATGTGTGTGTGTGTGTGTGTGTGAGATACCGACAATGATATTGACAAGGGATAGGGAGGAACATGAAATTGTGAAGGGCAATAAGGTATTCTGGGATGGCCTCAATGAGGTAGCATTTAAGCAGAGCCCTGAAAGTGGTTACAGAGAAAGCTGTAGATATCTGGAAGGAGTACTGGGCAGAGGAACTAGCCAGTGCTAAGGCTCCTGAGGAAGCACATGCCTGGCGTAGTTAAGGAAGTTTAAGAGATCAGAGTGGCCAGAGCAGAGTGAATGGCAATAGAGGAGGCCTATGTAGTTGTGGGTTAAGGCCAGACTTTGTAGAGCCCTGTTGGCTACAGTAGAAACTTTGATTTCTACCCTGAATGAAATTATTAAACTTGGTTCATGCCTTTAAACATGTGTATTTTGCTGGGTGTAGTGGCTTGTGCCTGTCATCCCAGCTACTCAGGAGGCAGAGGTAGGAGGATCAGTTGAGGCCAATAATTCAAGTCCAACCTGGGCAACAAAGCAAGATTCCATCTCTAACTAACAACAATGAAAAGATGTGTATTTACCGTGTGTGTGTGTGTGTGTGTGTGTGTGAACAGTTCCATAGATATGCAACTGGACCTGAGGTCCAAAAAGACAGAGGCAACTTCTCAAAACAGCCAATTTTACTTCATTCAATTGTATTCATTATAACATAATAATTGGGAGGCCAAGGCAGGTGGATCACAAGGTCAGGAGTTTGAGACCAGCTTGTCCAATATGGTGAAACCCCATTTCTACTAAAAAATACAAAAATTAAGCCAGGCACAGTCACTCACGCCTGTAATCCCAGCACTTTGGGAGGCTAAGGCAGGTGGATCACGAGGTCAAGAGATCAAGACCATCCTGGTAAACATGATGAAACCCTGTCTCTACTAAAAATACAAAAAATTAGCTGGGCATGGTGGTGCGTGCCTGTAATCCCAGCTACTCAGGAGGCTGAGGCAGGAGAATTGCCTGAACCCAGGAGGTGGAGGTTGCGGTGAGCCAAAATCGCGCCATTGCACTCCAGCCTGGGTAACAAGAGCAAAACTCCATCTCAAAAAAAAAAAAGTACAAAAATTAGCTGGGGCATGGTGGCACACCCCTGTAGTCCAGCTACTTGGAAAGCTGAGGCAGGAGAATCACTTGAACATGGGAGGTGAAGGTTGTGGTGAGCCGAGATGGTGCCACTACACTCCAGCCTGGGTAACAAAGTGAGACTTTGTCTTAAAAAAAAAATTAATGTTACCACATTCCCTCAGACATTCATCAAATTAAAGCCTGGGAGAAAATGGATATGAAATCAATTTAAAGCATGACTTAAAGGAATCTAACCCCTGGGCAACTCCATTCAGCAAACTTTACTGAGTGGCTTTCATGCCCCAGATACTGTGCTAGGCTCTGGAGGTTTAGAGACGAATGACATATAGTCAGGAACTCTCAGCCTAGTGGGACTGAGAAACCAGAAAGTAGCCAATTTCAGATCACTGTAATGGTAGCAAATGTCAGGCGTCCTCAAGGAGTCTAAAAAGGGAAGTCCGATACTGAGATCAGTAAAGAACCTGGGAGATGATACTGAAGATGTCTGTGTCTGCAATTTTTGAGGGATTGTCTCACTTTTTAAAAATTTTTTAATTTTTTTTTAAATTTTTAGTGCAGAGACACTCCGGCAGGAACTGGAGAGAGAGAAAATGATGAAAAGACTGTTGATGACCGAACTGTGAAGTTCTCCCCTTGTCACCTGGAAGATGGCATGGTGCCTTCTGTCCGTCTTTCTTCGGGCTTTGTGTGCTCACTCTAGCACAACATACAAATGTGTGCTTTGTTCGCCCAGGTCTCCATGGTTAGATGAAGCCAATTTCTGGCTTGACTTTTATGGGAAAAATTATTTTATGTCTCCTAAGCATTAGAGTTTTTCTATTACTCTATGTAGTTGAGACAGGATTTGATAAGTCTAGGAAAAGAAAGATGGGAAAACGGGATTCCTTTTCAGAAGCACCTGTGTGTATCTGTTAATAACCACAGGGGATAATATGATGTGGGATCCTTTACTATCAATTTCAACCATGTGATTTTGTATGACTGAAACTTGCACCGAGCTTTGACTGTTTGTTAAAGAGTCATTTTTAATGAGAGAATAATTCTTTATCGCTGGTTTTTCATTTACACTGATAAATACACAGATCTTATAAAGTCTTTAACATTCATTTGTATTCAGACACGAGCAGATTAACTAAAAAAGAGAAAGTTACATATCACCATGACTGAAGATACTTCAACTTAATCTGAAATATAATTTAACTTGTAAACTCTTTGGATATAATAGAATTTATCATTGAACCCAAAGTAGGAAATGATAGCTTACATTGTCTAAAAATGTTAAGATGATTCAATATCAAGATTCATTTGGGTGTTCTATCAAGGAAAATTATTTCTAAAGTCGATTGATTCATGTCCTATTGATAGAATCTTGACCAGAAGAAATTTTGCTCTTTTTATATAGTTTCGAGAAATGTGTTTTTAAATTTTTATTAATGCACTTGAACAACTTTGCAGGAATAAAGGATCCCCAATCACAAAATATCCCTCTAAATTAGTTCCCTAGCTTTCTCAAGGAATACGCATATATTTTTACATAGCTATGATCATTGTGTACATTCTCTTTCGTTTTACTTCTTTGCCTAACACTCGGCTCCTCTAATCAACACAGATTCTACTCTCACCAATTCAAGTGTCTTTATATCCATGTAACATGGTTAACCTCACTCTCACTTCACTCCATTATTAGATATTTGAGTTATATCTAATTTTTCACTCTTATAAATAGTGCTGCTATGAATGTCTGTAAAAAAAAAAAACTGCTCCTTCTTTTGGATTATTCCCTTAGGAATATCTCCAAAGAGGAATTACAAAGATAAAGAGCATGAACTATTTTATAGCTCTTGTTTTATATAGCCAGATTGCTTTCTAGAAAGATTCAATCTTTGGGTTGGAAGGACCTTAAAGGTCATCTAGTTTAGCCTCCCCACCCCCTCTGAATGCTTGAATCCCTTCTACAATTTATGATGCCACCAGCAATGTATAAGCATTTCTATTTACCAATAGCTCTGCCAGTATTGGGTTCTGCCATTTTTATTTATTTTTGCTAGTTTAATAATAGGTATGTATAGTTGTTCTTGAAGAGTTGTTTTATTTCATTAATTGCTAGCGAGGCTGAGCAGTTTTCCATGTGATGATTTACTAGGTGTATTTCCTTGTGTGTAAAATGTTCATCCATTTCTTATGACCACTTGTTAAGAGGAACTGATCTCATATATTTGTATCAGAACTGTATTTTTATGTTGTATTGTATAGTTTGCTCTCCTGTCCCTCTCCTTAAAACTGAATGGTGCCAATAATTTGATACTAATGACTATAAAAAAAAGGTAATGCCTCATTTACTAGTATTGTGATAAAATGAGGAATGTAAGCAAATATTCAGATAACTGAGGACTAACCCTTTAAGTGCTGAATCTTTACAATTTTAATATTTTTTTTTGAAGGAAATCTTTCTAAAATGTATTACACAGTTCCCTGCCTTAGTAAACAGACTATACTGGAGAGCATTTAACCTTTTCTTGATGAGTCATGGTCATGGTTATAAACATCAGCCCCTTTTGTACCTTGGTACGGTGCAGTGATGTCATCAAGAGCTATCAATATGTGTTGGGCTTGGCTTGGCCTTTTATAGGATATTATGCTCTTCTCACTGATGGTTTTTTACTGCTCTCTCCTCTATCAGTGGAGCTATCCGGGGCAATTGTAGCGTTTGGGGCCTTTTATCCCCATGTTCCCCGGCTATACTTTTAAAACAGCTTTAGCTGTTCTTTATCTCATGCACATGATACAAAATGTGTTCCCGTACAATATGGGGCTTTCACCTCTTGCCAACCCAGCACACTCTTCCTCTTCTAACCTGCTTTCTGAGGCTTCTGCTCTTTACATCCTGCTCTCTGATGGAAACCTCCAGGGCAAAGCTAAAGGTTTCTTGGGGAAGCCAGGAAAGCCAGTATTTCATATGTGTCAGATTTGCTTGGCTTCCGAGCAGGGATGCATGGGCTTTTTGGCCAGTGTTTCCAGGAGGCTCTGAGCTTCCTGCTTCTTCCCCGCTTCTCCCTGAGTTCACAGACTTTGAGGTTTCTGAAGGTTGATGTCACTGGAAGTCTGACCACAAACAAGTTGGCTGTTACTCTATTTGAAAACCCAGTACCTTTGGCAGCTCACCTCTAACCAGTAAAATAAGAGGATTCCATGGTTTCAGCAGTTGTCCTGGTTATTTGTCTATTTAAGTGAATAATGGGTGCTTGCATTGTGACTGAGAAGATGGAATTGTACTGGATGGATTCATAGGGATGAAATGAATTGGCACAATTGTTTCACATTTTTAAATACATTTTAAACCAAAACAACAGCACCATATGGGCACACAACACACACCTTATGTCTAGGGGAAACAATCAGCTTACTGACAGAGTCATTCCAGAGCTAGGGCTCCAAACTGCAGGCCGCAGATTCCTGGTGGGCACGGAGGGTTATTGCACGGGGTCTGGGAAACCTGTGATCCACAGCTTTGTGGATTGTAGACTGCATAGGAAATTCTATGTTTGAAGAGTTTGAGATCTTAGGGCATTCAGAAGATCCCACTTGTATGCACCCAGAATTTTATATTCCCCAGGAATATAGCAGGGGAATATTCTGATATCATATTTATCTTTCACCATCTCAAAAATTACAGCTTTAAAAAAAACTCAAATAAAATTCATCACTGTAACCATTTTAAAGCGTACAATTCAGCAGTTTCAAGTGCATTCACAATGTTGTACAAACAATACCACTATCGAATTCCAGAATATTTCCATCGTGGCAAAATGAAGCCCCATATCTGTTAGCAGTCACTACCGATTCTGCCCCCCGACCCCTGGCATCACCTGGCAACCACTAATCTACTTTCTGTCTGTGGATTTGCTTATTCTGGAAATTTCATATAAACAAAATCATACAACAATCTGTATTCTTTTGTGATTGGCTTCTTTCACTTAACATAGTGTTTTCAAGGTTCGTCCATGTCGTAGCATGTATCAGAACTGCACTCCTTTTTATGGCTGAATAATGTATTCTTATATGGATATGCCATATTTGGCTTATCCAGCCATCAGTTGATAGATATTAGGGTTGCTTCTTCTTTTCGGCTATTATAAAGAATATTGTTACGAACATTTGTGCACAAGTTTTTGTGTGAATATCTGTTTTAAATTCTCTTGGAATTGCTGGGTCATATGGCAACTCCATGTTTAACTTTCTAAGGAACTGCCACAATCACAGCTTTTATTTCCTACAAAATCCAAAGTGAAAAATTATATATACTAGACAGTCAGAAGCATGGGCAAATCTGTTATCAGATAGCAAGATGTGGCACTGATTTGAGGGTGTTTTTAAAAACAAAAATGTTGTTTCAGAGAAATGGTTTTGAGGAGGAGAGAAAATAAAGGTGCTGTCTTTCTTTTTAAAATGAAAATGAATTTAAATCTGGTTCATCTCTAAGTTTTTGTTTGAGTGGCCAGCTCTTGTATAGCCAGTGGTCTCAGAATGTTCACGCAGAGTTCCTCCCCAGAAAATGTGCACAGTAGAGGAAACCGCAATATTTCTTAGCTATCCAGTAGAGTCACATTGGTTGGGATCAGAGGGTCTCTGAAAATCTAGGATATAACTAAAAGGGAAGCATGTCCTTAGCATTGGAATAGGTCTGCCTCTGTCTTTCCAGGGCTTAAATCTTGTCAGAAAACACAAAAGTAAGAACATCTCCAAAGGCAATTTGAGTGGATGGGAGAGAATCTCATGAATTGAAGCAGCCGAATAGGTTGCTAGGCCCTGAAGAGTCACAAGGCTTTGAGTGACCCATAAAAGCTATGAGTTTTCCCAAACACCGCATGTTCTCACTCATAAGTGAGTTGAACAGTGAAAACACATGGACACAGAGAGGGGAACATCACACACTGGGGCCTGCTGGGGGTTGGGAGGGAAGGAGAGGGAGAGCATTAGGACAAATACCTAATGTATGTGGGGCTTAAACTCTAGATGATAGGTTGATAAGTGCAGCAAACCACCATGGCACATGTATATATACCTATATAACAGGCCTGTATGTTCTGTGCATGTATCCCAGAACTTGAAATTTACAAAAAAAAGAAAACTTGGAACATGGAAAAAATAACTCATAAAAAAAGCTACGGGTTTTCTCCCTAGAAAAATCCATACATCACAACATCAGTTCAACTTTCATAAGGTCCTCGTGTCACCCCTGAAGCCTATCTGTGCCCCACTGTGAGTCTACATGAGTAGAGAGAGGAATGAAATCCACAGATTATCTGCAAACTTCATTTTAAGCTGCAGTTGCAAACCGTCTCCGACATTCCCCCACAAAAACAATATAAAAACCCCACATGTTTTTCTATCAGATCAATTTGCCAGGAGAATTGCCTGGTCGCCAGAGAATTTGCCTTCTATTTGGGCACCATTATTGTTAATTTCAGTAACAGAAATGAAGGGAATAAAAAAAGAAAGTAAGAGGTAAAAGTTTGTATTCCCACACCAGAGAATCTACACTGATATCAAAATCTAATGCTTTCTTTTTTTGGTTAAACCTTTAAGTTGACCATACCTTCCCTGGTAAACAGAAAGAGAAGAAAAGAAAGAAATTTCAATTTTTAAAAAAGGTTTAAGTTTTTTTTCTTTTGAAGGATTACACTTTAACAGATTTTCAGTCTGTTGGATTAGCTTTTTTAGAATGTTATGCATTGCCAAGCTATGCTTTTTGTGAAGAAGTCTCTTTTGATTTTTTAGTTATGGTTCATCTTACTTTTCTCAAGCAATAAATCTGATCTGTTTTTTGTGACAACTGGTATGTTGGGGGATCTAGTGAAGCCCAAGGTTTTCATGAATTACACCTCAATTCAGTTATCAGGATTAACATGTTTAAATTCCAATTGGACAGCCCACTGTTAGCTGATCCCTAATAGCAAATACCTAACTTCTAAGTCTGCCAGCTTATCTCCCCTCTTTCAACAGCACTACCCTTATCTCCCAGCCAACCAGCCCATAAAAGGTTAAGATCACTAGTTTCCTTTGGAATATTAACATTTTGTAATATTGGGTACATGTGTGCATGCCATTTATAGCACTGAACCCTATTGATCCTTACCTCTATTATCCTCCCTGATCTTATTGCATCATGTAGATAACTGATCATGGGAAATCAGGCAGTCTGAATTCTTTTTTTTTCTTTCTTTCTTGAGACAGAGTCTTGCTGTCTCCCAGGCTGGAGTGCAGCAGTCTAATTTTGGCTCATTGCAACCTCTGCCTACTGGGTTCAAGCAATTCTCTCTGCCTCAGCCTCCTGAGTAGCAGGGATTACAGGTGACCATCTCCACCCCCAGCTAATTTTTGTATTTTTAGTAGAGACGGAGTTTCACCATCTTGGTCAGGCTGGTCTTGAACTCCTGACCTTGTGATCCACCCTCCTTGGCCTCCCAACGTGCTGGGATTACAGGTGCGAGCTACCATGCCCAGCCCAGGCAGTCTGACTTCTAGGTCTGCATTGGGGACCTCTATGCTTTTCTGCCTCCATAGTTATTTTGTTTGTGTAATAAAATAAAGTAGAAAAAGCAGGTTAAAATGTTGGCTCTGCAACATCAGCATGAAAGGAATCGTGTCCACATCTCTACTGAAAAACAGCTTAGCAGTTTGAATATATCACCCCAACAACCATCATCAGAAGAGAACCCTGGGACCTGGCATAAAATAAATGCTTGGTGTGAATCAGTGGATGGCTGAGTAAATAACCCAAAGTGAATGGCAAGCAGCAGGAATGGATTGGAGAAAAATCAACAATTCAGCAGGGCCCTCAGACATGGTGTGGGCCTTCCAAGGCCTGTGCATGCTTGCTGTGGGGAAAGAGAGTAAACCAGAAGCCTCGTTTTGACGGGGAACGGGTTACCTCCTGGCATCAGCCTCTGTTGATTACACACCGCAAGAGCCTAGAGAAGAAGCAGGTGAATCCAGTCTGGAGATCTGGGTTCCAGCTTCTTCTCTGCCTCTAAGAGAAGAAACCACCTCACTATAGTTTACCTAGCTCTATAGTGAGGATCTTGCCATTTCAAGTTCCTTCTGTGATAATCCAAGAAATAATAGGTCTAGCAAGTGCTTTATGTAAACCACAAAGTGCCGGCACAAGGTTGAGGAGGCAGCACTGACCGGTCATGTCCAGGATAAACCCTCTAGAGGAGCGTTTCATAAATTGAACGTGCCTTGGGATCTCCGGGGAATTTTGGTAAAATGCACATCCTGCTTCATGGGTGTGGAGTGGGGCCTTAGTGATGCTAACGAGCTTCCAGGTGATGCTGATGCTGCTGGTCAGCGGACCACACTCCAGAATAGAAGGGGCTAGAAGGGCCAAATCTGCCTGAGAGGAGGGAGGTACGGGACATGGGGAGGTTGGAAACGAGGACCGAAGAAGGGAAGCTGCTAGGAAGGGGAGTCCGGTGGGGGAGGAGGGGGTTCCAGGAGGAAGAGGGAAGCTGCGGGGCTGGAGCGAGGATGCGCAGACCGAGGCAGCGAGGCGGGGGTGCGGGAGCCTCCGCGGCTGCGCGGGCGCGTGCTGGTGGCCTCGGCGGCGGCTCAGTCCCGGCCCGCGCCCGCGGCGCCCCCGCTGCGGCCCGAGCGGCCTGGCTGCGGGATCGCTGCGCAGCAATGGCGCGGCCGCCCTGGGAGCACCCGGGGGTCTGGGCGCCGCTGCTCCTGCTGCTGCTGACGGGGCCTGCCTCCTGCGCCGCCAGCCCCGCGGACGACGGCGCGGGTCCGGGGGGCCGGGGACCCCGGGGCCGCGCGCGGGGGGACGCGGGTGCCGACGAGGCGGTGCCGCGCCACGACTCCTCCTATGGCACCTTCGCGGGGGAGTTCTACGACCTGCGCTACCTGTCAGAGGAGGGTGAGGCTGCGGGAGGGCCAGGGGCTACGGGAGGACCAGGGGTGGGGGCGGAGGGGACGGGCGGGGGCGTGGGGGGAGGGGGTCGGAAAAGATGTCGGTGGAGGCATCTCCGGCAGAGGCGAGGCCAGGATGGGGAGCGCAGTCCCAGACCTCCGCCGGCTTGGAGGAAGGACCCAAAGAGCTGTCAAGACCTGCCGCCCGCTTTACAGATGGGGAGACTGAGGCTGAGAGAGGGAGCGGTCACCCAAGTTCTGCAAGGCTGTGGATGGGGGTGGGCGCTGAGTCTAAGCTCCCCCAGTTCTCAGATTTGGCTTCCACTTTTGCCACCTGGGATTGGGTTGTAGGGGAGGAGGCCGCCATCTAGCCAGGGCAGTTGAGGGGAAGCAGAAAAACCCTAATCTAAAGAGAGAGGTTGCCTTATTTCCTCCCTGTCTAAATTTGCAGTGACCAGCGCCCACCTTGTAGCGTTCTGTTCCTGCTCACTGACCCATCAGAGCTGGGTCACATCAGCTTCCCCACTCCCATCCCTCTTCTTTTATAACGCCACATATGTTATGGTCTCCTAATGTGAGCCACCATTGTTGGGGCCTGCTGGGCCCACAGACTGGGAGTTTATCGGCCAAGGGCCTCCCTGTAGAGCTGCTTCAGTGAGCACAAAAGCCAAGCTGATGGTGATCAGGAGGAATGGAAACTGGCCTCTTACTTTAGCAACTTTGGGAAGTAGTGACTTTTCTTTTCTTCTGCTTAAGAGGGATAGCCAAGAATCCAGCTGGGGTTTGAAATTTGAGTCCCAGGAGCTCATATCAGTTAGTGAATGTATCTGTTGTTAGCATTAAGTTCAGCTGGATACAACAAGCACACATTAAGACCTTCAACAAGATAAAAAGTTTCTCTTTTATGGAAAGAAACCTGGAAATAGGTCGTCCAGAACTGGTGTGCAGGCTCCTTGGTTATAAGGGCCCCTGGATCCCGCCCTTCTGTTTCTTCAGTTCTTAGCAGTGTAACTTCATGGTTCAAAATAACTGCTTGAGCTCCAGCCATTATATTCACATTCAAGACAGTGAGGAAAAATAAAGCAGGAAGAATGTCACTGACTACTTTTATAAGGGGATTACTCAGAAGTTTCATATGATAATTTTTATACTTTTTTGGCCACAACTTAATCATGTGGTTGCACATAGGTACAAAGGAGGGTGGTAAGTACAGCCTATTAGCTGAGACATAATATGCCCAGTTCAAAAATCAGAATTATTGTATTAAAGAAGAGGGAGAGAATAGATTTTGAAAAATGTATTAAGTAGAGGCTTAACTGCTGAAATAGAGATTTTAACATATAGTGGTTTAAATAAGGTAGTATATTTTTCTCTCTGATAAAAGTCTGGTTAGTCTGGGGCTGGTAGAATGACTCTGTTCCACAAGGTCATTCAGGGACCCAGGTTCTTTCCATCTTGTTGCTCTACCATCCCCTAAGGCTTTGTCCTCATCTGTACAGTAGAAGCCAGGTTGCATGCATGTCCTTGTTCAAGATTGAACAAGAGAAGTTCAGGGCAAGTAGTTACCTTTTAGGCTGGCTGCACATATTACTGCTGTTCACATTCCTCTGGCAAAAACATAGTTACAATGACCTAGCTTCAAGGGAGGCTAAGAAATGTAGTCTTCTAGAGGGGAGCCATGTGGCTAGGAAGAAGGAGAAATGGGGGGAGGGAGGACAAGAAGCAGAAGCAGAAGCAGAATCTGTCACTCTGGAAAAGAATAAATATTCCAAAGCCCATCTGTTTCTGAAAGCATCTAGTGTATCTTTACACTGTACATAGCCTATGCTGCCAGGTGGCTTAAATGTGGCATTCGAGAGCTTATATTCTGATTGGGCTCACACATCTAGCAAATGAAGGATAAGGTCAGATTCTGTACATCCTTTGACTCTCTGTACAGAGAGAATGATATGTTCATCGTATAGTCCAGGAAGTTTTATGAACATGGCTATCAGGTGGTCCACAGCCATCAAGAACAGCTTTATAGAGTCCAGCCATGAAGTAGGAAAGACTTTAGTGAGACAGAAGAAGGAAGGCATTTAGATGAGGTGACCGCACAGCAGGCAGCAGGGCTTGCTATATGTGTACCAATCCCTAGTTTGTCTGTTTCCCCCTCCCACCATAAAAGCAGTTTAGCCCTCCTGAAGCCTGTTGGCATTGTACTCAAAAGTCTGTGATGGGGCCAGGCGCAGTGGCTCACACCTGTAATTCCAGAACTTTGGGAGGCCAAGGTGGGAGGATCACGAGGTCAGGAGTTTGAGACCAGCCTGGCCAACATGGTGAAACCCCATCTCTACTAAAAATACAAAAATTAGCCAGGCGTGGTGGCACATGCCTGTAATCTCAGCTACTCAGGAGGCAGAGGCAGGAGAATCACTTGAACCCAGGAGGCAGAGATTGCAGTGAGCTGAGATCGCACCATTGCACTCCAGCCTTGGCAACAGAGTGAGACTCTGTCTCAAAAAAAAAAAAAAAAAAAATCTGTGATGGTTTCAACCTGCTCCCTGAATGAATCTTCAACTGCTTTATCTGAAATTTCCTCCCTGGTTTAATTTCCTTTTACAACCATGTTTCACCTCTCCCCTTCCCTCACCCTGAGCTTTCTGAGCTCTTACCCTCCATTCTTCTACCCTCTTCTGAGTTTCACTTCCACCTTGGATACAGATTCTACCACCATGTGGTGGGTGGGATGTAAGAGGCATGGGACTATCAGAGGCAGTGCCTCTTCTAGATTCCCCTGGGCCTGGGCTTCAACCCTGTGGGTCCTGAATAGAGACTTTCCCAAGATGCTTAGAAATAAACAGTGATATTATCTTAAAAGCAGGGGTTAAGGAGGATTGCCAAAGAGAGGGAAGAAGAACCAGGAGAGAGGGGTGTCCCAGAAGGCAAAGGAAAGGAGCCTGTTTCCTACCGAGGTGAGGCCTGATAGCATGAAAAAGACTCAAAATTACGCATGGATTCAGGAGATGAGAGGTTATGGGTGGAACTCTCCTAGGATAGATTTAGTGGAGAAGGAAGAAGGGAGCCCGACCTACCTTGGAGGACGTGGCAAGTGAAGAGGTGCAAGTAATGCCTTTGACTTAGTCTATCAATACACTTGAGGTTGTCCATTTCTAGTGACAGGGTACTTGTTCCCTCTGTGAAGGGTACCCCCTTATTATGTCTCAAATAGCCATGAAACTGAGTATAAAAGTCAGAAAAGGCCGGATGCATGGCTCATGCCTGTAATCCCAGCACTTTGGGAGGCTAAGGTGAGCAGATCACCTGAGGTCAGGAGTTCGAGACCAGCCTGACCAACATGGCAAAACCCCATCTCTACTAAAAATACAAAAATTAGTTGGGTGTGGTGGTGGGCACCTGTAACCCTAACCACTGGGGAGGCTGAGGCAGGAGAATTTCTTGAACCTGGGAGGCGGAGGTTGTGGTGAGTCAAAATTGCACCATTGCACTACAGCCTGGGCAACAAAGTGAGACTCCATCTCAAAAGGGAATTTGAATAATGGAGGTGGGAATGGAGATTCCGCTGAAATTAGGAGAGAGCCTACTGACCATTACCTACCCTACCCAGAGACTATTTCCCCACCGTATCCAGATTGCCCAAGACCCCCAAATCCAGAGGTACGACGCTGGCTGATTTCCTATCTCAAAAAAATGATTACCCCCTAACATAGTCATTTTTAAAAATTTAAGTTTTTGTTTAATTATGCTAGTTTTCAGAATTCTTTGAGGGTCTCACTATCTAAGCCTATACTACTCATCCTTACAGTCTCAGCTCAAATGCCACCTCTTTCAGGAAGCCTTCCCTGATTTTCTCCTTCTCCCACTAGGCGAAGATATTCTTCCACAGCACACAGTCTAACCCTGCCATGACCCTCTTTGCTCTCTATGGTCAGGAGTTCAGGTAGGGTCTTAGTGCTTGAATCCTACCACTCGTACTTCCAGAGGTTCTTAACCCAGAATCGATATACTCAGAGCAGTGATAGAATTTGAAACAGATAGGCTGATGTGGTGGCTCATACCTGTAATCCCAGCACTTTGGGAGGCCGAGGCAGGCGGATCATGAGGTCAAGAGTTCGAGACCATCCTGGCCGACATGGTGAAAAAAATTGTGAAACAGATTACCATTTGATTATGGGCAAATGCTAATTTCTGAGGGTTTTTTGGGGAAAAACAAAACTGAGTTGGATGTTGACTACTGGTTAAGTCCCAAATGAAGCTTTCTTCTCCCTGCTGCTAAGATGGCCAGGTTTAAGAAGCAGACAGAGTCTTAACCTAGCTAGCTGATGTTAACTGCCTTACCCTTGGAGCCATACCCCACCTAAGAAGGAAAAGACAGAACACCATTCATGGTCACTTATCTTTAAGGCATAGTTATCTGACCACTTGTAAAATGTGCCTCAATCAAGGAGTTCTGACCATTGAGTTCTGATCACAGTTTTTCTTGGGAAGGAGCTAGAGAGGCGGAGAGAAGGACAGAACATGGGGCAAAGGCCGGAAGTTTCATCATCTCCCTGTATCCTTCCTCCATCTACCATGAACAGTATGTGGATATGTAACTTACCACTCTACTAATCTTTAAGGGTAACAATTTACATCTAATTTATCTTTGTATCTTCCATGAATCTAGCCTGATCATAATACCAGTTAGAGCAACTTTTAATATGTGCCGACTGTGGGGCAGGCACCATTTTAAGGTACCTTGTCCCATAGTAATTTTAATTCTTACAGCAACACTGCGAGTTAAATACTACTACTATTGCTGCTGTAGAGTTAAGGAAACTGACCCAAGGGAAGTCTGAAAATTTTAAGCTAAAGTGGCACAGCAATTAAGTAGCAGAGAACTGTGGATTTATTGCTTGACTTACAGATAAGGTGGTGTAAGGTGTCCTGCCTGCCTGGAACGGAGGGTCTCTGTTGACATGCACTAGGAAATGGATTGGACAGGTAGAATTGGCTTTTTGTTTTTGT